TGCTTCTTTTTTTAAGCATCTGCAAGTGACAAGAGTTACCTGGGTATGGTTGTTTGAACCTATACAGCAGGATAAAAACACTGGTTGTGAAATTACCAATATGTTTTTCTCCCAGGTTCCATACAAGGATATAGTTTATGGCTCTGAGCTACCTTTGTTAGCCCCTTAACAACAGATTGTGGTCCTTGATGGATATAGGCATTGTCATTCAAAGATGTACACAGTGGTCACACTGGATGCTGATAAACATCTGGATGTATGTATTAACTACAAGCAGATGTGTGTTTTCATGCAAGCAGAAATCTCTTGCTGGATCAGGGAGCTAATGTCTGAAAGTCTGATGATTTTGTATTGCCATCAGTTCCCCCAGCAAAGCTTCCCTTCAGTTTTTAACATCTGTTCCAATCTTGAGATAAATTGGTCACGTCTATGCCATATGTTTAAAACACACTTGTACCACTTTAAACAGTGGTGCTTCCCTCAAAGAATTCTGGGAACTGTAGTTTGTTAAGGGTGCTGACTTTACAGAGAGCTACAGTTCCCGGCATCCTTAACAACCTACAGTTCCCAGGGTTCTCCATGGTTGTTTAAAAATGGTATAAGAGTGCTTTAAATGTGTGGTGTGGACCAGAGCCAGATTATATGAAAACTGAACAAAAATGACTATTAAGAGGGTTGCCTGTGTGTCTTAGGTCAACTTGGATTTCAGGGAGGAGGGTTGAGGCCTCTTCCCTGCAACTATTCCCATTTACAAGTGTCTGGAACAGACTTTGCTCCCAATCTGGTGAGACTATGAGAGTGAAACTTCAGTTTCTCCTGCATAAATGAGTGGCTGCCATTCACTCCACTGGGAAATGGGAAAAAGAGAGGTGATGTCTAACACTGGAGGATCCAAAAAGCAAACACACTTTTTTAAAATGAGCATTTTTTGCTTGTCCTTGTCCCCCAATCTAGTCAAGGCCTCAGGCCTCTACCTCCAGGCCATTTTCCGATGAGGAATCCTCTGGCTGAGATATGACAAGCAACATCACTAACATTGTTTGCCTGTTGACTTCTAAAAACTATATTGGGCAAACAGTTCAGAACTAAGCATTGGTTGGTGTTCAGGTGGCTGCCTCGAATTGGCTTTCTGCCTTGCTTGGTAGGCCAGGTTAAGAGAAGCCAAGAATAAACTATAAAAACTTTCCAGTGGTTACTTTTCCCAAAATAACTGATGCGGAATAGGTTGGTGACCATGTGGGTGTCAAGGAAAAAAAGATAAACAAGTCAAAGAATATGTCATTGACTCGTTCTGTCGCTAGCTAGTATTGCCACCTCTTTTTAATAGAAATTACATTTGCCAATGTCTTTTCTGCCATAATGCAAAGTAAAGTTAAAATTGCTGCTAATATTGCATTAAAACTGGCCTGAAGTAAAAAATTAAGTTTCCAGCCAGCCAGGGGCATTGATGGAGTAGCCTAACCCTTGATGTTTAGCATCAGGTCCTGAATCTCCTATAGATTCCAACTTTTTTAAAACGTGAAGGCTCTTCTGTCATCTGTTTTACTTGGCTTTTGGGGCAGTTGCATGCACTGCTAAGTGGAGTGCTGGTCACTCCCCAACCACCTGTATTTCCACAGTTAGGACAGCAGGACATAGCTGAGTTCCTATCGCTGAGTTCTCCAGCGCATGGTTGGAGAAGCAGCAACTCTAATTTTGTGCTTTGCCAACTCTTTGCTACAGCCGTGTCTCAGGTGGAATCTAGACCCATATAAAAATATATTGAATTTACCATAGCTCACCATCGCCATCTAGTGTCACATCTGTATGATGCACTGTACAACACACTTAAAACGTTTTATTTGCAGATGTATAGCTAAGTCCTGAGACTTCAATATGTGCCCACTGGTCAAAAATAGCTGGCAGCTCCTTCTATACATATGTTTCTTTGGAAGTGAGCGTTCGGAGGGTTATAAACGTAGGCTTTTATCTTTCAGTTACCCATAACTTGTCAGATAGTGCAAATAAATTACCATACTTTTCCATGTATAAGACTAGGTTTTTTTACTCTAATGTTAAAAAACCGGGGTCATCATACATGGATAGTGCGTGGGGGGGACTTTCTTAAATTTGAGTCTCCCCAAATGGTCTTATACACAAGGGCATGTTATACATGGAAAAATACGGTACTTCCGGTGGAGTATCCTATCTGTATTTAGTAGGAAATAACTGTGTATCCCTTGCTACATGTAACTGATGGAAAATGTTGCATCGCCAAGAAGGGATAATGTACTTCCCAGTTTGAAAACAACACAGCTCTTCTGCTGCTTTGGTTTCAGTGGCTGGTAGAATACTTCTTGGCAAAACTACCCCTTTCATTCATACTTAGGTCTTCAGCAAGGGAGATTGCGCTGCTGGATAGGGAGAAGATTCTGCACAAGCGGCGTCCTAATGCTGTCCACACATTAATTGTTCAAGGTGTTGTCTTGCTTGACACTTTAAAAATGAAATGAAGCCAACCATGGGGATTGTCATGATGGTCTGGTTTTGCTCCCTTAATCTGTCTACTTCTGAGCATTAGAGAGAGGTGTGTCGTGCAGCCTTTGAATTAAGAAATATATATTTTTAAAGAGTCAATCAGTGACGGGGTATTTTTATGAGATGAGGGGAAGCTTGGTGGTGTTTGTCATAACACTTTCACCGTGTGTGTGTGTGTGAGAGAGAGAGAGAGAGAGAGAGAGAGAGGGAGAGAGAGGGAGATTCTTGGATTGGAACGACACACTGTGGGAGTACTCGGTCTTTAATGAAAAAATAAAATAGTAATGGCTTATATCCGGAGAACTCTGTTTTACGTGCACAACTGGAATTCCCCTCTCCCCACTGTTTCCACTACAGCTCCTCTTTTCTTCCCTCCAAAGCCACTCCTGGGAGGGTACCCTTCAGGACAGTGTGGGGTGCTCCATGGCTGAAGCGATGTGCTAGGCTGGGAGTGGAAGTGACTTCTCCCCTGGTTACAGCGCCTTCTGCTCGTGCAAGGGACACAGGGTCCAAGACAATATCTCTCCCGTTTTATACAGCACTTCAAAAAAAGCAAGAGCTTAGAACATAGGAAGCTGCCTTAATACAGTGGTACCTCAGGTTAAGAACTTAGTTCGTTCTGGAGGTCTGTTCTTAACCTGAAACTCTTCTTAAGAGAGCCAGTGTGGTGTAGTGGTTAAGAGGGGTAGTCTCGTAATCTGGGGAACCGGGTTCGCGTCTCTGCTCCTCCACATGCAGCTGCTGGGTGACCTTGGGTCAGTCACACTTCTCTGAAGTTTATCAGCCCCACTCACCTCACAGAGTGTTTGTTATGGGGGAGGAAGGGAAAGGAGAATGTTAGCCGCTTTGAGACTCCTGAAGGGAAGTGAAAGGTGGGATATCAAATCTAAATTCTTCTTCTTCTTCTTAAGCTGAGGTACCACTTTAGCTAATGGGGCCTCCTGCTGCCGCCGCGCCACCGGAGCACAATTTCTGTTCTCATCCTGAAGCAAAGTTCTTAACCTGAAGCGCTACTTCTGGGTTAGCGGAGTCTGTAACCTGAATCGTATGTAACCTGAAGCGTATGTAACCCGAGGTGCCACTGTATATAGAATGGGGCAAGGGAGGTTGCCATCCTACCCTTAGCCTCAGCAGCAAAATGACTTGGGTCGGCTCTGCAGATCACTTTGGGGCACCACGTTGCATGATACGGGAATAAGAGCTGACAAGTAATCGTCACCAGGGGACAGAAGAGGTGGAGATTTAGCGGAAAAGATAGTGAGTAACAGTTATAAAGAGGAAGGAAATTAGAAAAGGCAGCCTCACAGTGATACACAAAAGAGGGTAAGAAACAGAACTCCAACTGCATGGGGGCGAGAGTGGGGAACAGCAAGAAAAAATGGTTACACTTTCAAAAGGAGATTCACATATTAATGTAATATATTTGGCATTGCCAGCGCCACATAGCCTGGAAATGGTGCATGCATTTGGAGTGATGCACACGGCAAAGATACCGAAGCATTACTCCACACTCACAGGAAGGGCATTTTATGGGCAAAATGCAAATGGACTGCAAGTGATTAAAGGAAGATTCTCTCTCTCTTCTGGCTCCATCCTTTCACACTTTCCACTCCATTCCTATGGCCTGGCCTGCCTCTCAGCATATGGGCATCCTCATCTTTATAGATTTAATTAGCAACTGAAGCACATTACACATCACATTGTGTAACAGAAAAAGAAGCAGAAAATTGGTTTAAAAGTGTGTGAAAGAAAGTAATAGAAGTGGAAAGAAATTGCAATTGAGTAGATTGGAAGTTCATCACAAGGGTGGGGTGAGGGATGGTGGTGGGAAAATGAAGTATTTGTGGGATTGAGTATGGGTATGTATGAATATTTTTAAGGACTGTATGAAATGTATGTTTGTATATTCGTAACATGTATGTATTAATGTTGAATTATTTTAATAATAAAAATTAAAAATTAAATAATAATAATAATTAGCAACTGAAGACCTTGCTCTCTCTCCCCCCCAACCTTTTCCTCCATGGTCCCTTTATCCTCCACCCCTTTGAAATATACTCCTCTTCTTCAGTTATTTTTTCAATGGTGAGCCCACAGAGCATCTGCTTTGCATGCAGAGGGTTTCTGTTTTCCACCCCAACATCTCTATGTAGGGCTGGGAATGTCCCCTACCTGGAACTTTGGAGTCAAGGTAGATAATACTGAGTCTGATGATAAACTGATGGTGTGACCCAGTACAGTGGTACCTTGGGTTACAGACGCTTCAGGTTACAGACTCCGCTAACCCAGAAATAGTACCTCAGGTTAAGAACTTTGCTTCAGGATGAGAACAGAAATCGCATGGCGGCAGCGGGAGGCCCCATTAGCTAAAGTGGTACCTCAGCTTAAGAAGAAGAAGAAGAATTTAGATTTGATATCCCGCCTTTCACTTCCCTTCAAGAGTCTCAAAAAGTGGTGCTTCAGGTTAAGTGGTGCTTCAGGTTAAGAACAGTTTCAGGTTAAGTATGGACCTCCGGAACGAATTAAGTACTTAACTCGAGGTACCACTGTACAGATATTGACTGGGCTGATGGTTATATCTTTCTTCAGCACCGATGATAGGATATCATTCACCGGTGCACCTGAGGTGCAGCAGGGTAGCTTAGGAGGCAAGCGCAAGGTAAGTTGTGTAGACCCACACAGCAATATCCTTCAGTTGATGATCATGGCTGGTCCTCAAGAGGAACGGCCACAGGACTGACATGACCTGCCGTTATCTACTGCCTGAGACAGTTGCCTCATTTTGCCCAATGGTTGCGTTGATCTTGGTGGTCTGTAGGGATTGTGAGGTAGTGTGGAAATGAAGTTTTGTAATAAAAAAGTATAAAATAAAAAAGGGACGTGGGTGGCGCTGTGGGTTAAACCACAGAGCCTAGGACTTGCCGATCAGAAGGTCGGTGGTTCAAATCCCCGCTATGGGGAGAACTCCCATTGTTCGGTCCCAGCTCCTGCCAACCTAGCAGTTCGAAAGCATGTCAAAGTGCAAGTAGATAAATAGGTATCACTCTGGTGGGAAGGTAAATGGTGTTTCCGTGCACTGCTCTGGTTCACCAGAAGCGGCTTAGTCATGCTGGCCACATGACCTGGAAGCTTTATGCCGGCTCCCTTGGCCAATAAAGCGAGATGAGCGTTGTAACCCCAGAGTCGGTCATGACTGGACCTAATGGTCAGGGGTCCTTTTACCTTTACCTTTAATAAAAAAGTAAGGGTGTGGTATTTAGGCCATTGCTTCTAGAAAGGTTGCTCCAGAATGCCCTAGAACCATGTGGTCATATCTATAAAGTTCAGGTGCGCCTTTATGAGCATGATGCTCTGTTGGTTTTAAACTGGGTTAGTGAGCAAGTAGTTCTGAATTTCCTTTTGGTTTCAAGAATGCATTGGTTTCCTTTTTAATCTTAACCACAACTGCTTCTTGATGTAATCCCCCCCAGTGTGCCTTCTCCTTGGGGCACCTTCCTTCAAACTTCCTGAAAATCAAACTGGTTTCTAAAAACTGCCTTCTAAAAGAAGAATGTTTGTGTGGTTGGTAGTATAAAGGTGGCATTTAGATACACGTCTCCTATATTTTCCCCTATGTGGTTTCCAAACGGAATTATGTATAGTCTGTTATGGGTGGAAACTAGCAGGTTAGTTTCCTGCTGGGCTGGGAACAAAAAATAGTGTTCTTGAGTCAGGTGGCTGGGGGAAAAAACCTTATATTGAAATGCTTGACCTTTCTGAATTACCCATTGCACACAGGATGTGACGTGGGTGTGTTGAGGAGTTTTATGTTGCAAGGGCTGTTGTAGGCATAAAGAGCAGTTCTGCATGCTAACTGCACAGCCACTCAGTTGGTCTTTCTTTCCATGCAATCCCTGTCAGTGACGGCCGGAGCACCAACGTCAAGAAAGAATGAAAAGAGCAGGTTTTGGCTCCCAAGTGCAGTGCTTTACTCTTCTCTGTCTTGGAGTGAATGACAGCCCTTCATTCACATAGGAGGAACCACAATGGCTGGCTAAGGAGTATCATTGAAACAGTTCCCTTTTTTTCAGAGTGATCCTGCTGTTGATAACTGGGTGAATGCCTTCTTCCCTAGCCTAATAATAATAATAATAATAAATTTTATTTATACCCCGCCCTCCCTGGCCAGAGCCGGGCTCAGGGCGGCTAACACCAGTAAAATTACGGTAAAAACACAGCAGGAGTATTATGAGTATGGCAACGGAGAAGAGAATATGTATAGATCACATGGAGCAAAACTTTCTGCCCCGTGCAAAAAGTTTGCTACAGTTTTTTTTTGCCAACTGTTCCATATCTTACCACCTGCTTTATCTTACCATCCATCAGGGTGCTGGCTCAGCCTGTCATTGGCTCTGGCTCCAGTGACTGCTCGTCTCCCTGTTTTCTGCCCCACCGGTTCCAACGGGTACCAGCCTCCACTGTGATTTTCTTTCGAAATTGTGTAAGGAGATGGGTGGATGGTATCACTCAGGGGGTCAGCTTGGTTAGGCACCTGCCAGGGTCTGATGTTAAGAGCTCCCTTGATCTACTCCTGCTCCTCTGCAGTGACACCTGCTTGCTTACCTTCCCTTTTACAGCAGTAGCCCCCCTGTTTTCTGGCCAGTTCTCCTTCTGGTAGGTGGACAAATGGTAGCAGCAGTGAGGAGCAGCTTTAGTTGACAACAGTGGCAATGAGGAGAAAGAGATCTCCCCTGGGGGACTAGACTTTACACTGTGTGTGTCTTGTCCAAGATTCTTCCCCCCATAAAGCACCACAAAGCATCCTGGAGCCAGTAGTGGTCTTGCTTTAGACTGCAGGTGGTTGTGTGTGTGTGATTCCTCTACTCTTCCCACATGAAGTTCCTGCAAGTAGACACTTCTAAAACTGGAGAGTGGTATTTTGCCCATAGCCTAATTCATCTATGGTGCTATGTGCTACTTGCAGGGAGTCTCTTGGTTTTTACATGGAAAGCATTCAAAATATGTGATCCCTGCCTGCAAACTGAAATGGGTGCAATCCATTCTGCCACTGGAGCACTTTCCAATCTCGTTCTGTGGTGTGTCTAGATCCAGCCTAATGCACCTGTCCAATGATAATGGCAAGAAACTTGGGAGACGTTTGTTGACATACTGCAAGTGGTTTTCTGTGGAAGCAGTCCTGCTCTAAGCGAGGGTGCTTTTATTAAGGTTGGGTAACCCAGTAATTGCCCAGCCAATGTAACCTAGTTTTAAAGCTATTCCTACACAATTTGTTACAAGGCTTTTGAAGACACAAGTGAAATGGAGAGCCATCTAGAAATGATAAATGCTATACAAATATGTGGTTTGTGTGTTTCCTGAATGTTGTATGGAATCCTGTTCAGCCTTTAGAACCAGAGAAGGAAGAGTAAAGGACAGGTTATAATCAGGAGATTAATTCATCTTCATTTTTAAGAACGTGGTAAGATTTTAGGGAAGGAGAAGAGGAGGTGTTTTTTTTAAAAAAAATATAGTGAATATAGTGCACTAAGGGAGGTATAACATACGGTACCTTTTGTTAAAGTGGTGCATTTTTTCCTCTTGAAACACTAGAATTTAGGGCATTTGGTGAAACTGGCTGGCCCAAGGGTTTGGGGTCAACAACAAAAATAAAGCAACCATGAAATGAATTGTTAACTTACGGAATTAATTACAACATGGTGCACTAGTGCAGTGATGCTTGCTTAGGTGGCTTACATAAGATTTAGTGAAGTCATGAAGAACAGACCTGCCCATCAGCTGCTAGCTATGAAAGCTAGAGAAAACAACCTCCATGTTTAATGTCAACAGAATGTCCTGGGTATTCTTGGAAACAGGAGCTATGGTGGTTTGTTTTGTCAAAACTTTCTATCCCTCTTTGCCACACTAAGCCAGTTGTCTCTGTCCTGCCCTGATTATGAGTTTCCCAAGGATATCTGAACTAGATGGAATTTGGGCATGGTCTCCTAAATGTAGTTTCTGTTACAGGAAGTTCCCACAGCTTTTTAAAAACAGGTTTTAAATAATTCAGCCAAGGGTTTTTTATATATTAAAAAATGCATTTTCCAGCATGACTATTCCCGCATTGATTTTGTGTTGGAAACTTGTTCTATGGTTTAATCTCAACGCTGCACAGTTTTGCCTGGTGGTAGCTCCTCTGTGTCAAAAGTCTGCATCCTTATGCATAGTTGCATTTACTGAAGGCTGAATGAAATCATAGGATTTAAACCTAGGGAACCAACCCATATGGTATCTGATAATGCCATTGCGTGGAACTGGGTTTCGCTTGTCAGCTTTTCTTCTTTTGACCTGGCCTAGTTCGTGTGGCGGTGTGGTTTTTGTGTGTGTATAATCTCCCAAATGATCTGAAGTCAATTTTGATTGTCAAACTTTATTAATATTCTTAATCGTGGTCTTTTTTTTTTTTTCCTGACATCATTTTCCCTTTTAAGCAAGATATAAAGCACTCCTGGGTTCTTCAAAATGGGGACATGCACATAGTCCTGTTGAAGTAATTGGGACTGACATCCAGATAGATGTTTCTATGGCTGGAATTCTCAGCTGTAACTAGCTGTGTGTGTGTGTAGGGAAATTCTGACCCAAACATAATTACAGTGATACCTCAGGTTAAGTACTTAATTCGTTCCGGAGGTCCGTACTTAACCTGAAACTGTTCTTAACCTGAAGCACCACTTTAGCCTATGGGGCCTCCTGCTGCCGCTGCGCCGCTGGAGCACAATTTCTGTTCTCATCCTGAAGCAAAGTTCTTAACCTGGGTTAGCAGGTTAAGTGTAGTATTTCTGGGTTAGCAGAGTCTGTAACCTGAAGCGTATGTAACCTGAAGCGTATGTAACCCGAGGTACCACTGTACTTCATTATGATAATTTAAGTCATAACTTCCTGATCGTCTGCAAAAGAAAAACTAAAGAAAAACTCTTTTATTTGCAAACATGCTTGTATTATTTTCACCAGTTATGCCTTGGTAGTTTACACTGGTTATTTAATTTCTGTACTACTTTATATAAAAAATATCTCTAAGCAGTGTACAAAAAACTGAAGCAACAACAGACAACTTAAACAAAAAATTACCAAAAAAACCCACAGCTACATATAAAAATATTACAGTAATACAAAGTTACACACACACACACACACACACACATATCTATATATGTTCATTTTCCTTCTGACACACCCTCACTCTCAGCCTCTGGGTTTCTCACCAGGCAGGGTCCAAACAAACTCTCAGCTCACTCACAAAAGTCTCACAACAAGAAGAGTTCCTGGGAACAACAGACATTGCTCTTAGTCTCTAGACTTGCTTTTTATGGGCAGGCCCAAGGTGGGTAGTACTTCCTCAGGCTGCCCACACAATGTCCCATTCGGCTGCTCTCTCCACACCCAGTTCCCAGTACAGCAGGCTTGTTGAGTTTCCCAGGAGGTCCAGAGGATGGGAAGAGGGGGCCCCCTCCACTCACAGCTCTTTCTTCACTCCCTGTCCTCTCCTCCACCTCCAGCTGCTTTCCATATCGCATGATATTTTTAAAATTTTGTACTGCACAGATTTGTTCATGCTTTGTCATGGAGACATACCTTCCAGCTGCCCTTGGTAACCTGAGATTGTCCCTAATGTCTATTGATAATCAATCTGGCACGTTTTCCCATGCGACTCCACTCCTTTTCTGAGAGTCTCCTTTGCCTTTTCTAATCGTAGCAGGGGGGATTGCATGGCGAGGAAAGACTCTGCAGGATTAATAGCAAGGTGAAGACTGGGGAGAAATAAATAATAAGGATCAAAAGACTTCTAAACATGTACCGAGTGCCTGTCCTTGAAGGCAAACAGAAAACAAAACACCTGGGTACTGCTTATGGAATTGCGATAATAGATTAGGAAATTGCTTTCTGAGAAAACATGGTGTACAAATTTTGTTCCACAGTTGGGGCATAGGTGGTTGAGGTGAGGAAGATTAGGAAAGTGTTGGAGTTTTTTTCTTTCAGTGTGGTAGAGGACTTGACTTGCTCAACTGAGCCATCTGATCTGTCTTAGTGACTTGCTTGGTTTAGCAATCTTTGCAGAAAGTATTTCATTCAGTCCCGTTTTCGTCTTGTGACATGTTATCCTCTGGAATTGTGGGACCCATCCCTTACTTCTCCCCATGAATGTCACTGTTTTCATCTGTCAAATGCTGTAGGGCAAGTGAAAACACACAACGTAATGGACACATCCAGTTCTGGTGCCATTTTAAACACTAGTTGTTTCTCCCAAAGAATCCAGGGAACTGGAATTTAGTTGAGGGTGCTGAGAGTTGTTAGGAGACTCCTCACAGAACAATGATCCCTATCATTCTTTGATTATTCTCTATAATATTACACAGTGTTGTCAAAAGTCTTGGTGTGGCCCTACAACTCCCAATGACCCCAGCAAGTATGGCCAGTGGTGGTCAGGGATGATGAGATGAGAACTGTAGTCCCAACAATATTTGGAAGGCAACAGGTTCTCCACCCCTGGTGTAGACAAAGGTTGATAGACCCTAGTTCGAGCAGTAGAACGTAAGAAGAAGAACCTTAGTGGATCTGGCCAGTTGCCCACCTGGTCTACCATCCTGTTCTCACAGTGACCAACCAAATGCCTCTGCAGTAGCCAAAGCAGGATATAAGAGCAACAGTACTTATCCCCACTTGTGGCCCTGAGTAACTGGAATACAGGGGTGTACTACCTCCAACATCATGATTGGTATGATCTGCTACACCCCCCCCCCCCAATTTGGGCATTTTGCTTAATGCAGGAGCAGGGATGTGCAGAGTAGATGCCCCCTGCCCAACCTTCATGGAAGGAACACGGCAGTCTGTAATGAGAGAGACCCTGCACAGAGTCTTTACTGAAGCCTCTGTTACTACAGATGGTTTCGCTCTGTGTGTGAAGGCATATCCCTACTCATGTGTTCGTCAACACGATGCGTAAGAACGCCCAAATAAGGCTAAAATGGACAGTTGGTACGTCTATCACAGCTTTGCAATAACGTTTTATCTGGTGAATGCAGGATAGCCTAGTTTAACAGAAAAGCATTTCAATATAGCATTGAATGGACAGAATTGAGGGCCTCAAACAGCTACAGCATTGTTCAACAGTATATAGGATTGTAATTGTTTAAGGTACGACAATAGCATGTCATTGACTTTGAATTAATTGGCTCCTAAGCTCGTCTTTCACTTTTGTGTAGGCTTACAATGGCCCAGTTCAAACATCGCAGCAAAACCAATTTTGCAATTGCATAAAAAATAAAAATTAATGAGCGATTGTTCTGGCTGCAGAGAGGGAACTAGTAATTAGAGCCCCCACCCCACCCCATTGCTGCCATCGCCCTAGGGAACAGGGTCAGTTCAAGGATTTGTGGTGAGTGAACAGGAAGAATCTAATTAGCAACTTTAAAGGAGCACAGAGGAAGCTGCTGTCTAAGAGAAGGAAGAAGCGGGGCCTTTAGAACAGAAGTTAGAATTGGGTCTTGCCAATGTGAGGTGGACATTGATGGATATTTATGAGGAAAATAAGGCTATATTAAATACTGTGTGGAGCCACCAATTTAAATCTGTTTCTGGGTTATTGTGGAAAAGCAATGACTTAGCACAGCAGTTCCAAAACCTTTCTCCCTACCCAGGAATCTTGAAAATGGCTGAGGGTCTTGGTAGACCATTTAAGCCCCCACCCCCCGCATATTGTAGCAATTGTAATGCACTGTGCTATACAGTCATACCTCATGTTATGTCTGCTTCATGTTACGTTCTTTCAGGTTACGTCCCGTGGTGACCCGGAAGTACTGGAAAGGGTTACTTCTGGGTTTCGCCGCTCACGCATGTGCAGAAGCGCAAAATGACATCACGCGCATGCGCAGAAGCGGTGAATCGCAATCCCTGTGTGTGCAGACGCGCCGCTGCGGGTTGTGTTCTTTTCATGTTGCGAACGGGCCTCCGGAACGGATCCCGTTCGCAACCAGCGGTACCACTGTATACTGTATGGTTTCTAACTGCATTTTTATTTTTTGAGAGAGTTGGACTTGTTCTAAAAAAGTCAATGAACCACTGACAGAGGGCTCTGTCTTCCAGGTAAATAGTGACCAGGTCTGCCCGGTTCATGCACCCGTTCACCTCTACGTAGTTCCATCCTTAATTCATACATTGTGATGTATCAATATATTGTGATGTTGGAAACCAGATATGGCCCAGCCCTAGCACTTGGAGGCAGTACTGCAGCAAATTTGCTCAAGTGTACCTGCGTATTACTTATATATGTTCTAAGGCAGGCTTCCTCAACCTCGGCCCTCCAGATGTTTTGAGACTACAATTCCCATCATCCCTGACTACTGGTCCTGCTAGCTAGGGATCATGGGAGTTGAAGGTCAAAAACATCTGGAGGGCCGAGGTTGAGGACGCCTGTTCTAAGGTGTCTAGTAGTTCATTAATGTGCTTCTCCTGAGTTGTTTGTAAACACACAGAAATTCATATATAGTATCACTCTTTGAAGGGATTATTTTCAAGAGAATGAATCCTCCCTTTCCCCCCAAGGTAGCATTTCTTGCAAGGGAAATATGACTGGGATTTTGTAACACAGGAGTGGTAAAAATACTACATATATTTAGGTGTCAGCCTCACATTTAAAAGTGCCATCTGTGCCATGCTGGAAAAAAAATATTTATGTGCCAGATATGAGGGGACCATGGCAACTAGGCCCCTGGGATCTCTCCAGTTTACTGCAGTGCAAATATATGTATTATTATATATTATTGCCTCTTGTTTAAAAAAGGGCAAGCAACCAGGGAAAAAGCATTCTGTCTTGAGAGTGATGTTTGGTAATAGAAATTTAGAATATGGAAAGTGAGAATTCCTTATCCAGTTTTAGCTTGAGCATAAATCTGATTCACACAACGTGGTGAACCCAAACTATGGCTTCCCAAGATTGCACAGACTCCCAGACAGGAGCTCACAGCTGCTTTGACCCTACCTGGTTCTTTTTACAGTTGTTCTGAGCCCAGCCAAGGTAGAGTTGACCTGACCTTGGAATAAGGCAGTTTCACACGAGCAGTTTACACTCAAGGGGGGTATCTCTTTGAACAGAAGCAGATGCTGTGACCTTCCATGAGCAACACTTCTGGCATTATGCTGCTTACTTATGTAGGCCGTTGGTGTGAGCATTTAGTTGCACAGACAAAGCCTGTAAGAAAATGTTCTCACTGGCTCTGACTAGGGTGTTCATTGTTCACAAGCTCTGCTTGTTCCAGTGCACCAACGTATTTTTCAGTGTCAACCCTTGAGTATATGTCACTTCTGGGGAGCGGCATCCTTTGCCATGGATGATGCAGATCAGAGGCTTCCTTCGTGAGGCTGCATTGCCTCTTTACTACTTTTCTAACCACAGCTTCATTTTTTTTAAAAAAAGGAATTTCCACTCAAATACAGGTGCCTACTTTTTTCTGACTATGATGTATATGTTAGGGGCTGCTATCCTGGTTGCTTTGCTCACCCACCCTAACCCCCTTGTCCAAACCACCCACCCAAACCAAACTAAGGGTTGCATCTCCCTTTCTTGAATCTGTGTTTTTTAACAGCTATGCAGAAATTCTAGAGGTGCCGCATTCGCTAGCATTGGAATGTGCTTATTGGGAAAGCTCACCTGTAGAATTTCTTAACACCAACCTGTTTTTTTTTTAAGGCAGAGCCACTGGATGGGGCAGGGGGAGAGAGAGAGAGAGAGAGAGAGAGAGAGAGAGAGAGAGAGAGACAGACAGGAGGAGGAGGAAGGGAGGAACTGGGTGTGAGGTGTACAAGTTTGAGAGGAAAGTGGCAACCTTAAAGTTAACGCCTTCTGACTGGAAACTCAGCATCATAGATACAGGCATGTGTGGCCGGGACATGATTATACGATTGCTAGATGGTGAAGGAGAGGAAGAAAATACTGAATATACTGCTTAGTTCCAGATGTTCCAAATCTAAGCTTTGCACACTAGAAGCAGATTCTGGAATTCAGTCCTGATTGTGCCATTTAACTTTATTGCTTCTCATTTAATATATTGTGAGCCTCTTTGGACATAGTCTTTCAGAAAAGGGGAGCATACAAACAAACAGGTAATGACAGCGATGCTCTTTCTGAAAAGGGCAGATCCTGAGACTGGGATAGCTAGCTACTCATTCGTACATTTTGCAAGTAAAAGCACTTATTATGGATTCAATGAATTTTGCCTGTTAGGACACTTCCTTTGGAGTACAATGCAAAATACATCCATTTTAAGTTTAAATAGCACAAGCATTGTGTGCTTTTTGCAGCTGGTTTTCCTGACAGAAACTGGCAGGTTGTAACAAAGTTATCTAAAAGGATTATGTTACAGGTTTGAATATATATTGATTGGGGTTTAGGTACAAAACACGCATCAGTGGTTGCTGAATGCAGGTGTCATCTTTGGATTTTGATAGAAACCAAATGCTTACAAACACACAAAATCTTCATAGTTGGTATGAAATGCATACCTGCAGATATTAGCAGTACTGTACTTTCAGCTGGGTGTGCAGAGTCCCAGGTAAACTAGTTTGGATTACACTGTTGTGTTCATCCCATCATTTGTAAAGTTTTGTGTTTGCTTTAAAATCTGTGGGAGTTTTTCTGTTGACTTTAGAAGGAAGTATGTTTTGTTCAACATGTTTGTGGAAATAATGAACATAGCAACCATAAATATATGTACTTACGGCAGGAAACTGTAGGGTGAACAAGGTAAGGGTGATATATTTTTTTTTAGCTGGTTGAATGACCGAACCCGAAGGTGCCACAGGGTTCTGTCCTGATCCTGTTGTACCTTTTATTTATAAACGACTTGGACGATGGAATTGAGAGGATGCTCATCAAATCTGCAGGTGACACCAAACTGGGATGGTTAGCTAATGCTGCAGAAGACAGAATTAGGATTAAATATGAATTAAACAGATTGGAGAACCGGGCCCAAGCTAGCAGAATGAATTTCAATAGGAACAAATTAAGATTCTACGCGTAGGCAGGAATAGCCAGCTGCACAAATATTAGATGGGGAACACCTGGCTTGCCAATAGTACATGTGAAAAGGATCTGGGGTCTGAGTAGACCACAAGCTTAACATGAGTCAACAGTGTGATGCAGCAGCTAAAAAAGTTAATGCTATTCTAGGCTGCATCAACAGAGGTTTAGTGTCCTGATCAAGGGAAGTTGTAGTACCTAGCTCTGTTCTGCCTTAGTCAGACCACACTTGGAGTACTGTGTCTACTTCTGGTTGCCATAATTTAAGGATATTGTCAAGGTAGAACATGTGCAGAGGAGGGCAATCAAAATGATAAAGGGTCTGGAAACCTTTTAGTTGAGAAGGTAATGGTTCGAACCACAAATATGCTGGATAGATTTGAGAACCAATAGAGCTGTAGCAATAGATTGGATTTGATCATCTTTCCCCCACTTGCCTCTTTATTATCATTTTCAGAAATTCTGTTGGTGAGGGAAATTCATCACATATCAAACAGCCCCGAGTCTAGGAGTAGGTTCTCATATTAGTTGGATTTCAGATGGAACGGCTCAGGCAGCAGCAGGAAAAACGCTAATACTAATTACCTGCTGCACCAAATGGGTCTACTAGGATGTTTTTCGATTGGGAGTAGAGGCTGGAACTGCAGAGGTTCTGCTCAGCATGATCATCTTCTGACTGCAATTAGAAGTCTCGAGGTAAGAATGCCTGTTGGGTACAAATAAAAGAATAGGCTAGTAAAGAGCAGGATTTCATATTTCATTGCTTTTCATCAGACGATGTCAGTCTCTGTGCTGCTGGTGTTTTTGCTAAGCAGCCTCATGGCTGCCCAGAATGGCTTACAGAGTATTGCACAGCTAACGGCTTGTGCGAAGGGGAGGGAAGCAAAACAGGCACGTCCATTCACTAGTTTCCTGTATTATATAATCCTCCGTAGCCATGTTAGAGATAAGAGAGTGGCCAGCTGCTTGTTATTAAGACTGTAAATTTGTTATTGTGCCTGGTAGTAATTCAGCCCTTTGGGAGGCTCTGTATTTCTGAAGTCAAAGAGTCAAACCCATGAGAGTCTCTTTTTAGTTCTTGCAGTTCTTTGGTAACACGTTGATCCCCATGACGTACAGTATTTCAGATTGTTGGTTTGTCCTTAGCAAGTTGCCTGTAACGATGATCTTATAAGTGATCAGTACATTATTGTTATTTCAGGGAAAGCCGGAGTACAGGGATTAATTTTTAAACACATTGCCCTCCTCCCTCACACCAGAATATTTCTTCAGCAACAGATGTATTTATTCAATCAGAGCTAATGCTCAAACTAATAATAGACATAGGTAGATATATTTAATTTGACTTGAAGTGTCTGTGATTATACAATTTGAAGCACGGGGGGGGGGGGGAATCTTTTAAAATGAGCTCATTTAGAAGTGGAAAGGTTTACTAGGAAGTGACAGCAGGAAATAGATGTTGCCTCCATGCCCTATTTGAAGAGTGGTTGGCACTGGGAAAGCAGTGTGTGTGTGTGTGTGTGTGTGTGTGTGTGTCCACTTGTGTGTATTTGGGGCTTTTAATTGTTTCGGCATCTTCTCTAGTCACAATTGCCCTTCAGTGGGAAAATGGGCTGTTTAGGGATATCTGGTGTCCCTTTCCCGAAATCTATTGTTTGCTAAGTCACTGTAGTAATTTTATTAACTCCTCGTTCTCTGCGCCAGAAGTTCTCTGCACCTCTCTCTTCCATTTTGGGTCATAATAAGTGAGATTTAGGCCCCATCTGCCCTATGCATTTAAACCAGTATCATACCAGTTTAAACAGTCATGGCTCAGAATCCTGAGGAATGTAGTTAAGAGTGCTGAGAGTTGTTAGGAGACCCTTATTCTCCTCAAAAAGTTACAATTCCCAGAGTGGTTTAACAATCAATCCCTCTTTGCAGGGAACTGTGGGAATCTTAGCTCTCTCTGAATTCAGGATTACCTAGAATTACTAAGACCATTAAAAAGTAGGCTAGCATGTCATTTGATTGCAAGCTGTTGTTAGTACACACACAAAAAGCTTTCTAAACTTCCTCTGTCAAGGAGTGTCGCTTTTAAGAACTCCAATCGTTTAAGTGCTGGTTTCCGTTTTTTTCCAGAGAAAATCCAGTAATGGAACAATAATGATTTAGAGCCATTCATCTTAAGGCTCAAAGAAACACATTTCTACTTATGTCTCCTAGTTTCACAACAGTTAAGAAAGTCCTTTTAGTTTCCTGATCTGGTGTAAATTTAGCTTGTATATTTATGCCTAGATGGGCAATGACACATGATTTCTTTCAAGTAGAGAGCAAAAGCAATTTTTCATATTCTAGAGAGCATAGCTACAAGAGTGGCCAGAGCGGATTGCAGTATAGACTGAGGCAAAATATCTATTGTCTTGGCATTTTGACAAGCCAGGTAGCACTGTCAGAATTTCCATCCCAGGATTGGGTGCACGGTGACTGACAGGGTCTTGTTGGCTTGGTATGCTATTGGTATTCAGGCCCCTCTCTCTGGCATGGGATTCCTGACCACATGACAGCCTCTCTGAACTCTAGAGCTGCTTCCATAAGTTTACCTGTACTCCTGTGTCTGCAGCCCTAGTCATGTGTGGCATGCTAGTTCATGTGTTATGCTTAAGGAGGTGTTAGAGGAGTCTCCCATTTTTGAAATCTTACGCAAGCCACTCTTGTTTTGTATTTATCAAGCATCTGGAAGCATTGGGGGTAAGTCTCCTAAGCTTGATTTGTTTAAACCAGCATTGGTGTCCCAAATGATTTTGCTGCTACTGGTGTAAGTTGATATTAATTTATTTCATACGGGCCTTTGTTTTTGTTCAGTGTGTTGTTTGGGTTAGATGTATTGACGAAGGCCTGTAGTTCAGTGGGAGAGCATTAGCCCTGCATGCCTAAACTCACAGGTTCAATCCCTGGTGTCTACCAGTAGAGCTGGGAAATGCCTGCCTGAGACCCTGGAGAGCTTGCTTCAGTTTTCAAGAGCTGGGTGGACATGGTCTGATGTGATGTGATGTGATGTAACACAGCTATCGCAGGGCTTTCTTTCAGCCCGAACCTATCAGATCTCAGTTCCGGCACCTCTCAGGTGGGAACCATTGCCATTATAAGAGAACAAGGGAGGTGTTCGTGGTGAGTTCCTCCACCTCTTTTTCTAGAAAAATAGCACTGGCTATTTGTAAGTCACCTTGACGCAGTCCTTTTTTATATTTACTTTAAGGGCTATATATTAAATTTAGAAGTAAGCTATTATCTTCAATGACATATGCTTTATATACTTATATAGTGGGGTCTTTCCCCCTGGCTAGATGGTTCCCTTGTCTAATACTACTACTACTACTAATAATTTATTATTTATACCCCGCCCATCTGGCTGGGCTTCCCCAGCCACTCTGGGTGGCTTCCAACAAAATATTAAAATACAGCAATGCATCAAACATTAAAAGCTTCCCTAAACAGGGCTGCCTTCAGATGTCTTCTAAAAGTCTGGTAGTTGTTGTTCTCTTTGACATCTGGTGGGAGGGTGTTCCACAGGGTGGGTGCCACTACCAAAAAGGCCCTCTGCCTGGTTCCCTGTAGCTTTGCTTCTCTCAGTGAGGGAACCGCCAGAAGGCCCTCGGCGCTGGACCTCAGTGTCCGGGTAGAATGATGGGGGTGGAGACGCTCCTTAAGATATACTGGACCGAGGCTGTCTCTCTCCTCTAGAGGAATTTGGCAGCAGCAATGGGGAAGAACAAAGGTTAGACCTCTCCCTTAGCCTCCCAGGTGCTGTGGCTGCCAATGCTGATCTTAATTTCTTTTGCAGCAGTTCACCCTCCACATTTTATTTTAGCGCACAAAATAAACGCCCTTAAGATTATTTTCTTTTGCCGTTATTTCTCCCTAGTGGAGCACGCCCCACATTTTTGTTCAAGAATCAAATGCTACTACTCCTGTATGTAGTAATTGGTGAAAATTGCACATATGTAAAAGAAATCAAATCCTGATTCTTGAGATGTGCGGAGATCACCATTGGTAGTCCTGAAGCATAACATTTTAAGCGATATTTATTATAGTAATATGCCAATCCATTAATGAGGCAGAAAACATGATTTGCTACTTTGCGTGCAGTTGCTGCACAGAAGACATAACTGTGTTGGTTTTGTTTCCTCAGCAATTCTTTGTCTCGCCTACTTCAGAGCACCTTTTAAAGCCAGGGGGATAATGCGAACAGTTGGCACTTGGGTCGGGGTTTGTCCAGTTTCCAGACCTGATGAATGCTAATGGCCACTTTTGTTTGCATAGGCCAGGGGTGGGGAACCTGAGGCCTTCATTCCCTTGTGGGAACCTTTCAGGGGGAGCAGAGGCAAAAGTGGGCCAGATAATGGCAGTCACTTGACTTTGTGTAGTAGGCTGCATTATGCAACAGTTGGAAGTGCATGTATGTGTGCACCCCACTCCTCTCCATTCCTGCAGTCAAGACACAAGATCAGGGTTCAAGGACCCGCTCCAGCCAGGCAAAAGCACTCAAGGAAGGTGTAGGCCTACAGTGGTGTGAAGTGCGACCCATTGAAGGGATATAGGATAGGACAGGGATACCAGCTGCTATTGAACTGCAACCCCCATCAGCTACACAGCCAATGGGCAGGTGTGATGGGAGTTGCAGTTGAATGACATCTGGAGGGCACCAGGTTGGCTACCCCGGATTAGGGAGCGTGTCCCAAGGACAACGTGGAGGAAATGAGGCCCCAGGCCTGAGATGTTGTCCCACCACATGCCTCTTAACAAAGGGATAGTGCAGATTAATGTCTGTGTCCTAGTTCAAATCTCATCTCCAGTATAAACACACAAGGTGTTTATACACTATAAACTCACAAGACATATAAAGACACTGGCAGGCCACTATTTCTCATCTCTAGAAGGAAGGTATAAGAATAATGTGTGCAATTTGTGTTCGAACACTTGCAGTGGAAAATATAGAAACTCTGTGATGTTCTTTTTAAAATAGAGTACAGTGGTACCTCAGGTTACATACGCTTCAGGTTACATACGCTTCAGGTTACAGACTCCGCTAACCCAGAAATAGTGCTTCAGGTTAAGAACTTGGCTTCAGGATGAGAACAGAAATCGTACTCCGGCGGTGTGGCAGCAGCAGGAGGCCCCATTAGCTAAAGTGGTGCTTCAGGTTAAGAACAGTTTCAGGTTAAGTATGGACCTCCGGAACGAATTAAGTACTTAACCAGAGGTACCACTGTATAACCATAAGAATATTCAGTGGGTTGTGTTAGGAATTTAACTGGAAAGCAAGCATCAGCGGGAATTCTGGAAGCTGGGAAAAGAATACAGAGCTTGGCCCTATGTCTTTCCCCTTAAACTTCCTACTTTTTGCAAGTCAGTGCCCACAAGCATTCTTGTGCTTTAAGAACTTGCTCATGTAAGGGTCACTGCGGCTTCTCTCAGGTCATTGATGAGGCTGTGGCTCAGCCTTCAAAAAGAGTTGATTGGCTAGAGTGAGGAGCCAGGAATGAGAGATAGTTACCTAGGCAACCGGTATATCAGTCAGGTATCCTTATTCCTGCAGGGACACTTCCTGCTACTTGTGGACTCTCCCTCAGCCATTTCCTACCCCCAAACAGAGAAGCAGTCTGTGGCAGCACTGGGATCAGTGATGTGTGTTTTATGGGGGGAGGGGGAACAACCATGCAAATTAGGGTTATTTGCATTGGAAATTTTTCTGTTGCCCTGGAGAGTGATCTAGTCTAGCATGTTTATTTTGTATTTGGTAAACAAAGCAACAAAATAAAACTTTGCAAAGCTTGCTTAACATTGTTTCTTCAATCAGCACCTATTCATTGTTGCTAATGAAGAGATGAAATGGCAAAAAAAAATATGTCCAAGATAAAATAAGTCTCTAGAAAGTGCTCTGGCTCACATCATTGATTGGGGTCATGGCTGAAACTCATGATTTTCTAGAACTTTTATAGATTTGATCTTAGCAGCTCCAGAAATTTATGCCTGCCCCTATGGAATAAGAAAGACAACTTTGTGATAGGGATGCAAGCAAGGTTTAGCCCAGTGCTGTATTTGGGGACAGAAGTCTTTAACAAAGATCTCTTCGCAGTTGAGCTCTGATTATTGGATGGACCTCAGAATAGATGTTGCATCATTCTTTAAAGCATGAAATTTTGTTGGTTGGGAAGAAGTTTTATGGTTGAACATTCACTCATCTTTCATTCTGATTACTCTGAGGTAATATAGAACATAAATCCAAGTTAGCTCCATTTTTCTTTCAGTAGATCCAAAGATCCACTTCAATATTTGGTTTTAAAAGCCCTGAAAGACAGGAGCTATATTGGATAATGCAGGGCAAAGTCACTGTCATGACCTCAGGGTCCCACTGTGGAACTGGAGGAAGAATCAGAAAGAACTGTGCTGGAAACTCCACCACAGAAGGCCATTCTGCCAACATCTTCCAGGCCCAAGGAGGTCACATTGCCACCCCTCTGCCTTTGAGGACTCCGGTCTCAGAAGCTCCATCAAAAGTATCTTGCCCATGTCATAGGATTCAAAACAGATAGGACAACGTTAACATACTCAACCTGGTGGCGGAAGATACATTGTTCATGAAGGAAGTTTTCCCATCTATTGCACTTTGGTGTGCTGGCCCCTGCAGTTTCCTCAAATGTGGGGAAACTTTATGGCAGTGGGGGATTGTGTTTTTGTTTTCCCCTGGTTTTTTTAAAGGACCCCTTTAACCAGAGGAGCAGCTCCCACTGGTCGCGATAGAGCTAACTACCCAGCAGCCTCTATTAAAGGCTCAGTCTGGGATAACTTGTTTGCTGAAACAACAATCTAAATTTGCTTCAGCTTGAGCTGTGCATTGAATTGTCCATCTTGAACACCTCATCTTGGACCTGCTGTCTACCAGAGCCCTTACCTGTAACGGAACAGTCATTTGTTATTAATAATGAGCGAATGCTTTGAGCAGTGGTGGGGGAACCTGTGGCTTCCAGATGTTGTTGGACTCCTGTCAGCTTCAGCCAGCATGGTCAATGGTCAGGGTTGGTGGCAACTGTATAATTCCTGAGGACCACAGGTTCCCAATCCTTGGTTTAGAGTCTGAATATCCAACGGTTCATTATATACTTTATGCAAAATGGCAGAAGCACTACAGAGCATCTACAACCTAGTTTAAATCAGAAAGTGCTTACTGTAGTATGGCCTAGGGCAGATGAAATGTTCCCAATCTTCTAACTGTACTTAAGGGAATAGGACTGTGCTGTGGACTTGCATGCGCTGTCCTCTCGCACAGAAATCCCCCTCCCTCCCATGGTTTGCTTTTGAACCATGACGTAGCCTTATGTCTTCTATAGCACTAATCAGAATATTCTATCAAGCATTGAGGAAATAGCAGGACTGGAACATTTTTATTAGGGAAAACTCCCCTGGTAAATGTCCTAGCATGTTTGTTCTGCATTAACCTTTCTACTCTAATAATCCCTAGCAAGAATGCGTTGGGAGGGAGGGATACACTGTTGCATTACTAATGAAAACCACACTTGTGATATTGCTGAAATCCTGGCAGTGGGAGTGCTTTAATTTGATCTTCTATTTTTATTCTAAGTCTTGTGGTCTGGGTTGTGCAATACATTAAATTCAGGCAGAAAAGGGATCAGGGCTGCAAGGTGCTGGCGATTTGGAATTTGATTTAAAAAGAGATGTTGTGGGAAATGTATGTAAGCCTTAGGCTTCAGAAGAATGTGCCGTTACTAGGGAGTAAGCCCAACTACACACCCTATGACGTGCTTTTGCATAAATAGGATTGGGAAACGCACTGCCTGTCTTGACTCTGGAAATTTACATATGCTGTTCTGTATTGGCACAGTGTCAGCGCCGGAAGCTGTCATGGAGACATGATGTGTATTTTTGCTGTCACATTGTTTTATGCTACCAAGTGCATTCATTGCCTTAAGTTGTGCTTTTTGTTTTGTGACTTGCAGCTTTCACTCCTAGTAGCAGTATAATATACTGAAGCAGCACCTTGGCTGTGATTTGTAGGCTAATAGCCACAGAGTTCTATAGATATGGTTGCCCTGGCAAGTACGGTACATCTTTTAAGATCTCTTATGCTTCCCCAGAATGTTGAGCGGGTGGGGATTTCTCCAGACTTTGCCCTGAATCAAGCTATTTCCCAAATGTCTCCAAAGCTAGGGTAACAGGGGTGTCCCCCTCCCACTGCAACTCAGAGCTGGGAAGGAGGATAGATCACCCCATTGGTTGTGCTGACCTTGAAGGTTTTCAAGTACTTCCAAAGCCTAGTCCACATTACATTAGTCGTGCATAGGCCACATTACATCACCTGCAAACTCCACCAATCTCTATATGCTTCGCCCCTGTAAATTCAGGTTTACTTGATCTGGAGATAATCCAACAAGTTGGGGAAAGTGGAACTCCAAACCTCTCAACTTGGGGTCAAAGACTATTTGTTTTGGTGTTTTGGGGTGACTGTATCAATTGTCACTTTCTGCTACTCCCTTTTCCGTGCCCATTACTTCCTTAGTGCTTTCATTTCATTTCCAACCATGCTGTAACTATTTAACTATGTACTTCTTCTGATCCCTCAGATTTGTCCCCAAACCAGAAAACTGCACAAGCAAACCACACTAAATATTTCTGCCACAGATATTGTGCAGCAATCTGAAAAGTGTGTTGAGAATGCACAACTGCATTCATTTCTTTTCCAGCCAACACACTCCTGAACCAGAGAGTGTAGATTTATATGTATGGGTTTATATTATTTTGATCCCTCAAATTTGCACAGATCCAGAAAACTGCAAAAGTATGTGCTGAGAATTTTCAATTACCTTACTGTGTTCAGTTCAGCACTTCCTGACTGGGCATTTTTTTGGGTGGGGTATTGGTGTTGGGGGGGGGAGCAACGTGCAAGCGCAGCTATCTGTGTGCATACCCTGTCAGTACTATCCGTGCAGTGAAATCAGCAATTTAGAAAGTGGGGGCTAACACAAAAGGGAAGAAGTACTGGTATGAATTTGAATGGGAAAAGTAGATTAACAGGTAAATACTGTTCATATGTGTCTGGTGGTGGTGGTGGGGGGATGCTTATGCCCAAAAGAGAAGGAAATACATTTTAAAAACAGAATGCACACAACTTCCCCCAAAATGTGTGAAACCTTTTTCTCAGAGTTAGGTTATCTCCACTTTTCACAAGGTGCCGTATTTGGAATGTAAATAACCACAGCATTTACTTTTAAGGAAATCTGCACTGCAGCATTGCAGATATATTTGCAGTTTGTCTTTGGCAGGGTGAAGGCAGCATGTGGTATTGAATTTATTGATCAGGGCATTGATGTTTTACGAAGTGCATTTTGGCACTTTTCAACAGCATATTCAGGGAGAGCTGGAGATGATTTACCCTGTAAAACTTTAAGCTATCCAAAGAATACACATATAAAAATATTTGCAAAAAGGCAAGGAATGGTACTCAATGAGAGTTAATTGTAACTGGAGCAAACTCCCTCCTGCAATATAGGGATAATAACGCTGCCCTACTTTTAGAGAGGGTAATCACACTGAGATAATGTGTGTGGAGCACTTAGAATGCTTGAAGTGTGGTTTTAAATGCTAAGTAAACATCAAGTAGTCTGCACTGGTGCTTATTGCTTCTGTTCATTATATTAAAGCACAATGGAAACTCATTTGAATAAATGGTGTTTGAAATCATATTCACATTGCTCTCCTGAAAATGGCCATTCCCCCTTGATATAACAGCTTGCCAGGTTGACTGATCATGGAACATCGCCCCATGCCATATCAGGGAATTTTCCACACAGTTAGAATCATACCACACAGGGCACCTTACGTGGCATGCACATATGAAAGTAGCCCAGCAGCCCACTTCCTGTTGCAGAGCACTTAATGTGATGGAGTAGTTTTGCAGGAGAGAAGTGTTGGGTGAGGGAGGTTTCTTAGCCCTTTGCAGGCCAGCTGCTTTCCCCTGAACACCCCACCCCCCAAATACTTGTACCACAGGTTTACTTTGCAGACATGAATCTGGAATCATGCAGTGGTAAAAGCAAATTGGGTGGGTGACCAATATGGCAAGAGTTAAGTAACCCCCTTTCCCACAGTTCTTTGCTGCAGAGTTGACCTTTTTGGGCTTCTGTTACACATGACTGTTGCCTGCCTTGCTTGCAATTTTGCCCTAAGCCTGTTATGGGTTATAGGTTTAGGTTTGTTTCATTTAGCATTGTGCAGTCAGGGTTTATGCAGTGTTTGTGGTGTAGTTTAGCTTAAAGGCCTCCTGTAATGTCAAGTCCCTTCAGAATGGATGGGGAATATATACAGGAGGAATGGACTTACTACAGAGTTGTTGGTGGATAACATTCACGCTGCTTTCTTCCAGCTAAATTTCAGGAGCAAGCGCCTGGATAATATATGCTCCAATACACAAGTTAGAGAACACTTAACTTATCAAGAGCAAGGAACTGAAATTGATTAGTTCACGGGCAAAGTGTGCAGAATCCCTTTGTTGGTTTCACTCCCAAACAAAAGTCTAGCCAGAGTCCCAAGGCAAATTGCAAAACCTGGGTTCTGGGATGAAACTGAGTAGTGACTTCTTAATCCTTTGGTTTTGAAAACAAGTCAGATTCTCTGTGAATCTAACTTTTTGAAGACCGAGAACTCGGTTTAGGATTGAAACATGGGGCAGGGATGCCAGACACTTGTTGGGTACCGGGCCACTCCCTCAGCCATGTACCATAAGGCATTTAAAGCACATGCTTATTTGCTTAATAAAAAACTGTATTTTCTTTAAGTTGGGTATAGGAGTCCTAACATAATCACTGCATATGCTGGGTTTAAGGGCAAGAGAGGAAGCAAATTCATGACAACAAATGAATTGCTTTCTGTAATGTGATGCTTGGCTGTTAAGTAATCTGAACAGTTCCTTGAACTTTGCAATTTCCACATGTATTATATATACATATGTACATACATATAAAAGAAAGGTACCCAGTTTCCTAAAGATCAGAAATATGTTTTGTAACTTTCACTGAAATGGGAGAGTAGACTTCGATATACTCATATTTTTTCCTTTCCCCTTTTTAAAATTGGTGCATGTCACGTGACCCTCATGTGCTCAAGAGATTTCACTTCCTTCTCAGAGCAACTCATCCAGAAATGTCTGTGGAAAGGATTTCCTACAATACTTTAGCTAGTGTTTAAGGCTGCCACAGGAAGCCTCTTGGTGTTTGCAGATACTGACTTCCAGAAGCAATACTTTAGGAGCTGGAAAGGGCTCTTGATTTAAAAGTAATCACATCATTGAATTCCCTGTCAAACTGAGGAATGGCTTGGCAGCTTCAAAAGTACTATTTGTTTCTTCTTAAATTCATTAATTGGATCAAATGTTTATCAACCCAAGGGAGCACTTCCCAGTACCAACAAAGAAGTGTTGAAATTGCACCCTTTTGATCCTTTTGGCGTAGGCTAGCTTGTAAGTGGCATTCTAAAGAGCTGATATTTTTACAGTATTTTCATTAAGTTCAACAGATGAGCATTACCAGGAGATCCCTTTTTTTATTTTTCAGGTTCTGTGACCATTCAGCCTGGGAGGAACAGTGGTGTATCACCCGTGGAAAACAAATTAAGGCAACATGGATATCTCGATTCTACAGTTGTATTGAACAAGTACAGAATTTGGTACTAGTTATCCTAGGATTTTTAGCTTTTCATTGGAAACCTAGAAAGGTAAGCTTCTAGTTTTTAAGTCTGTGGCAAAACTGAAATAAAAAAACATAATGTTTGGGCAAGTTCTGGTGGTATCTCAGAAGGTGTATGTGTATTGAGCAGAGATTTTCAGTCAGTGCGAGACTGCAGGGAAGTTCTGCAAATGTCTGCAGAGATGATGAGTGTGTCTTTCATCCTACCATATCTAGCAGTCACAAAATAGCTGCATTTGTTGGATTCGCATAATTTATATAGGTTGCACTTTTTAAAGCACAGAATATACCCTTTGTTTTAGTAACAGCTATCATAATAGGATATTTTAGAGATTCAAAAACCATTGAAGATGCATTTAAGACAAGCAATTGTGATAGAAAATGAACTGTTTATATCCAAAACTAGGTCTGTGGGTTCGATGTTCCCTATCACTGTGGTACTGTTGACTAGAGTTCTTGTTTTTTGTTTTAACTGAATCCTGGGGCACACTGCAAATACACATGGTGTGAAAGTTAATTTGAACATGACTGGCAAGTATATTATGTGAAGTAAATGTGCACCCTAGAAAATGCCCCAGAATCTTCTGAGACGCTTGGCATTCCATGACTGTCAAGCAGGGGTCTGTGTGGAAAATGTTTTCTATAAATGGAAAGTTTGCAAACCAATTGCTTGCTATTTTAAAAGACCTGGGCAATTAAGCTTCCTACAGCTTTCCCTTTCCATTTTGTTCCTTTTGTGGTTTAAGTTAAGCAGATGCTAGAAATGGATGGTGCTTCGGAACACAAGGAAATGAAGTCAAAACAAGTCCTCTTGACTATACATTGGCCCAGTTCAAATGATAATTCAAGGCTATGAAGCCTTGAATGAGTGTTAGGGCCAAGCATGCCTCATTTATCCAGAATGTAGGACAGGCAGCAAGATATTGTATTCTCTCCCCAGCCCTCAAGAAGTGAAACTGAGGCATGCTGGAATTCCTGGGTCAGGCAGGAGAACTGTGAAGACAGCAAGCATGAGACAGCCCACCAAATGGTTTCTTGGTGACTGGAATAAGGATTTCTGCTTCAGCTAGCAAAGTACCAGGGGAAGTGGGAACTGAAGTAGAGTCTTTAAAATGACATTTGAACCGCTGCAACCAGCTGGGACCTCTACTTCAGCAGGAAGGTGTCCAAAGAAATGGGAACCAGGGGTATTGAAGGAAAAGCAGGGAAGTCAGACCCCTGGAATCTGACTGACAGCATGAGTGATTCAGCAGAAGTGCCATATTTTTCCTTCTATAAGATGCCCCCATGTATAAGACGCCCCTATTTTTGGGGACTCAGATTTAAGAAAATGGGGGGAGATGTATCCGTGTATAAGACGCCCCCTAATTCTTGACATTATTTTTTAGGGGGGAAAACCTAGTCCTATACACGAAAAAATACGGTAATTTCAGGCAGAGTGGATCTATGCAACTGGAACCATTTTTTTGCTGCAAGCCTAGAGGTTTTTAGACCCTTTTGGACAAAAGCTTCATAGCAGATAGCAGAGCTGTCATTCCTCATTTCCTGTCCTTGGTATGAGAACATTTTGTGTGGTCCACCCTGATAGGATTATTATTATTTTTTGCTCCATAACTCTTCTTCTAGTTTGATTAGAGCAAGACTTGAATAGATTGTAGAAAGCTGTACCCAGTGCATTTGACTGGCAACATCATCTCAGTTGAGATGACCGACTTCTTTAGCTGCTTTTTCCATCAGGTCTCAAGCACCCTCCATGCAAAGTGAACCAAACTGGAGCAATTTTTAAAAACCATATCAATAGTATTGGTGTGAAACATCTCCCAGGTTCATCACCTACTAGACAGGGTCTAGCCAGCCCTGGTACACATCCCTATCTGGAGAAGTCAGAGATTGAACCTGGGACTGTATGCATTGCATGGTCTATAGTCAGTTGCTTTAGGCATTTCCTTTTTGTGGTCCACCTCTCAACTCTAGGAATCAACTCTTGATCATTTTAACCCTTCCTTTTCCCAATTGCATTTCCTTTTTATCCATCCCCCCACTGCAGCAGGGGAGGGGAATATGTAAATCTTTCCCTTACACCACAATTCCAACGAAAACCATCCCTTCTAACGTTGGGAATGGGGGGAAAAGAGTGACTGCTTGCTTGACTACACAATGCTGTTTTGATTCCAGAAGTCTAGAATCAGAGTCACTAGCTTGCTTGTAGAACAGCAATGACCAGTTGCATACTAAATCATCCACACCTTGAAGTACCCTTTGACCCAAGTTTCCAGTTCATTCTCCTTTCTCTGTAACTTGTTTCACTACTGTCACTTCTTTTATGGAGTAAACCTGGTGACGAGGGATGGGATTGCTGAATGTGCTGTGCATCTGCACCCCAGTCACTGCTTACCGAAGGCTTTTCTCAGCCTCCTCCACTCCTCTTGTTACCACAGCCTTGTATCATGAGTAAACAGGCTTGCTGGTGGGAGAAACTGAGTTAATAAGATAATAAACTGAGATAATAAACTGACGTCAGGTGAATGTAATAGGTTTGACAAGGAGGGCAGCTATAATGTTTAGTGTCACAGAAGGGAGAACAGCTCTTTGTGAGTGTTGTTTGCTTGTTTGAAAGCAGAGGTGTTTATAGGCTAGTGTGGTGCTGGATATGAGAGCAATCCTTAGCCTCTGAGTCACAGGAAAAAGGGCATAGTGTGTTCTACTTAGATCATGGGATTTGAAATCTGAGTATCTTTTTACTAAGTAAAAACCCTGAATGTCTAAAAATATCATGATAGTTTGTTTTATAAGGCACGGCCAGGATAACATGTCCCAAGTCCTAGAAGGAATAAAGAAGAAAAGCATAGTCATGAAAAGTTGGACTGCTGCGGTTTTCTATATATAACTGGAATGAACTGGGTTTGAGGGGTAGTTTTATAAATATGGATGCAAAGACGCATTTTGCTTCTTGGCAGTGTTAACCTCTCAAGTTGAGCAAGAGGCTCTTTATGCATGCATATATATGGCCTTTGTACAGGAGGTTAGCTCCTACACATACACATCACTTAGTACCCTCTATCCAGAGAAGCTGGAGGTGTCTGAGGACACATTCCAGCCAGGCAAAAACAGGTTGAGAAGCATAAACAGTGAAGGGTGTGACCTGGGAGAGTTCCAAGGGCCAGGTACAGAGAGGCCTGGGGGCCACATTTGGTCCCTGGTGCTGAGGTTCCCCATTCCCAGTCATGGATGCCATGACTTAAACCTTAATCTGAGCTACAGAAATGCAACACTTCCTTGAAGAATGAGACTGGTCTATTTTAAAATGACTTGGCTTCCCTTAAGATTTCTACAAAGTATTTCTTCATAGCTGGATTCTGTGAATTCCCCTGAAAGTTTGTGGCGGCAGAGGCTGAGTAAAGGTAAAGGTAAGGGGACCCCTGACCATTAGGTCCAGTCGTGACCGACTTTGGGGTTGCGGCACTCATCTCGCTTTACTGGCCGAGGGAGCCGGCGTACAGCTTCTGGGTCATGTGGCCAGCCTGACTAAGCTGCTTCTGGCGAACCAGAGCAGCGCACGGAAACGCTGTTTACCTTCCCGCCGGAGCGGTACCTATTTATCTACTTGCACTTTGACGTGCTTTCGAACTGCTAGGTTGGCAGGAGCAGGGACCGAGCAACGGGAGCTCACCCTGTCATGGGTATTCGAACCGCCGACCTTCTGATCAGCAAGTCCTAGGCTCTGTGGTTTAACCCACAGCGCCACATAACTTTTAATTCTGGCAGTTAAAAACAAATGCACGGCTGGAAAGTTGCACAAAAGAATGAAGCACCTTAAATGTTCTTTAATTACCTTGTCTTTGTTCATGTTTAAAATATATTTCTGTTTTAAAAGCTAGCTATTTCAATAGTTTCTTCTTCTTCCTCCTCCTCCTCCTCCTATTTATTTAAAATCTCCATCCATCTGGTGAGAATAACTCATATTCTGGATTTATGCTGGAGTGAAAGCATCTCATTTGCCAAGGAGGCAATTTGTTATGATGGGAAATCGTTCTGTTGTGATAGTGGTGTAAGCAAAATATTTTATTCTGGGCAAATAGTTTATAATAGTATTAATTAGAACAGAAATACCCAAACTATGTGCCAGAGCACAACAGTGTGCCAGGAGGAAACTGCTATTGTGCAGAAGAGACTAAAAATCCATTACTGGATCCATTCCCGTCACTTGACACTCACGTGGCCTCTTTGACATGAAGTGCCTTCCATCAGCGAGGGAAATAGTTCAGAATGGTGGGAACTCATGGTATAATTCAGAAACCTCATCCTGAATATATGCAAGGGAATGCTATATTTTATGAACATTTATTATGGTTACTTCTTACACTTTGTGCCTTTAAAAAAACAAAAACAAAAAACAGAATGGCTCTAAATTCGTCCTCTTCTAAATGCATATAATTGAATCTCTTTGAAAACCCCAATTTCACACCTGATGCTATAACGGCAGTTAAGCTCACAGCGATAAAGGCATGTGATATGATTGGAAGACTAAATAGACATGTGTATTTAAAAATCAATATCAATTTTGAATGCTCAGACTCAGTAATTCATTGTGTGGTTTTTTTCCAGATGGGACAATAAAGCTGCTTTAAGAAATGCAAAATACCATGCTCTCACCCAAGAAAACAACAGCCCGCTGTAAGTAAAAAGATGTTTGGTGCAAAATGTCACACACATTATGAAAATTTACTACAATAGGGAGCTTCTTGTAAGCTGAATCATAACTCAAGAATTCAAGTGGGTGAGACCTGGAATTTTAATCACATTTAAATCTTGTAAATCTTTGTTGAAATTGTTTTGTTTTTGTGTGGGGGAAAAAACTTTTTAGAGATTATAACTTGCTCAACTTGGTGACCTCCAGATGGTGTTTTGACTATAACTTCCATCAGCTACAGCCAATATGACCAACGTCAGAGACGGTGGGAGCTGTGATCCAAAACTTCTGAGGGACAACATATTGGCCAAGGCTGCTCCAGGGTGTGGCTCACCCAACACAATACTGATTTCTTCCATAGGGATGATCAAACACATGAATGGATACTGAGACAGATATTTAGATCCGTAGGTCACCATTGGTCTTGCTTGGATGTGACACCATGGTTTAACATTAACAAATATGAGCCTAGGCCTGGCATGCTCCTACGTCTATCTCTTCTGGTGCAGCCACAAAGAGGAGTTCGGAATATTTTACATAAGTTTTTGATTAACCACAGCTTGGCATAACATCCAATCCCAAACAAATGTGTGGTTAATCTTTAAAGGTAAAAGTAAAGGGACCCCTGACCATTAGGTCCAGTCGTGGCCGACTCTGGGGTTGCGGCACTCATCTCGCTTTATTGGCCAAGGGAGCCAGCGTACAGTTTCCGGGTCATGTGGCCAGCATGACTAAGCCGCTTCTGGCAAACCAGAGCAGCGCACGGAAACGCCGTTGACCTTCCCGCCGGAGCGGTACCTATTTATCTACTTGCACTTTGACATGCTTTCGAAATGCTAGGTTGGCAGGAGCTGGGACTGAGCAACGGGAACTCACCCCGTCGTGGGGATTCGAACTTCCAACCTTCTGATCAGCAAGCCCTAGGCTCAATGGTTTAACACACAGCGCCATCCGCGTCCCTATTGGTTAATCTTTACTATTGTTTAAATAAGCCAGCTTGAAAACATAGTTTATACATTTGGCTCGTTTCAACAAACGCTAAAGATAAACCACCATGTAAGGGTTGGACGGTACACTAAACTGTGGTTAATCTAAAACGGAGGTGGAAGCTTCTGATCTTCCTAAAGCTGTGGCAGAAGAATGGAGCATTTGAGTTTGAGGCTCATTGTTAGTATAAAACATGGTCTGAACATAGTCAATGTGTGTGACACCGCCTGCTTGTCTGGAGCAAAACCATGTAGTACTTTGTGCAAATTCTTTGACTGCAGCCGAGAATCAAGACTCTTACTAAGTGGGTGTTTTTCATTGACATAGGCAGCTTCAGGTTATGTAGATTAGACCATAGCCCTCTTCTGACATTTCAGCCTGGACACATAAGGGGAAAACACCCCTTATGGAGAGGATCCTAAGAGGGGAGAAGGTGAGTGGCACCAGACATGTCTACTTGACCCTCAACCTTCATGTTTTTAGGGTAAAGGTCTGAAGCAGGCCTGTGTATTTTTCTGAATGTGCTTGCAGGCCTCCTCATAATTGTGAACCCTGAGAAACTATTATCATTTTGAAAGCATCTAAAATATATGGTGAGGTCTGCTGAAGCAAATGGTCTCCTGTTAAAATGGTAAATTAATTCTTCTTTAATGCTACCATTAAAATAATTTGAGCCTTTGCTGTTAAAATCAGCATTTAAACAAACCTAGTTTGGATCCTATTTCAGATTGTGTTTTGTTTTCATTCTGCCTTAGCCTGCTGTCATAAGGGCTGCAAGTGAAGACGACACTCTATTTTGGTCCTTCATCAAGGCTTTGCTGTGATCAAACAGTGAAAAGAGGCGTCTTCCCCATGACAACATGTCAGCAAAAGATATCAGCCCCCGCCATGGTGCAAAATCCCGCACTGTGCAGCGGGCCTCAACTATTGATGTCACGACTGACATGTTAGATTTGTCTTTGGCAGGTTAGTATCTTTTCTTCCTACCTGTGTCCTCATGGTTGTATTGAATTCTTACTTTGTCTTGCTTTTCTGTTTGAAATTCTAGTTTTTTAGACAGTCCCCTCCCCCCTGCACCCAGTGCTGGTAATGAAAAGATTAATTTGGGAACACACACACTGTTAGTTATATTTGTATCTTTTCCCCATGTTATAAGCAGCGGGCATGATACAAGGACAGTGGGGAGGATACAGTGGTGCCCCGCAAGACGAATGCCTCGCAAGACGAAAAACTCGCTAGACGAAAGGGTTTTGTGGTTTTTGAGCTGCTTCGCAAGACGAATTTCCCTATGGGCTTGCTTTGCAAGACGAAAACGTCTTGCGTTTTTTGCAAGTTTGTTTCCTTTTTCTTAACACCGTTAATACAGTTTCGACTTGACTTTGAGGAGCAACTCATAGAACGCGGTGTGGTAGCCTTTTTTGAGGTTTTTAGTGATTTTTGAAGCTTTTCCAAAACTTTTCTGACACCGTGCTTCGCAAGACGAAAATTTCGCTAGACGAAAAAACTCGTGGAACGAATTAATTTCGTCTTGCGAGGCACCACTGTAGTAGATTTGGGAGCAGTATAAATAAGAGAAGTGAGTGGAAGTGAGAGCTGGACCATAAAGAAGGCTGATTGCCGAAGAATTGATGCTTTTGAATTATGGTGCTGGAGGAGACTCTTGAGAGTCCCATGGACTGCAAGAAGATCAAACCTATCCATTCCTAAGGAAATCAGCCCTGAGTGCTCACTGGAAGGACAGATCCTGAAGCTGAGGCTCCAATATTTTGCCACCTCATGAGAAGAGAAGGCTCCCTGGAAAAGACCCTGATGTTGGGAAAGATTGAGGGCACAAGGAGAAGGGGACGATGGAGGACGAGATGGTTGGACAGTGTTCTCAAAGCTACCAGCATGAGTTTGACCAAGTTGTGGGAGGCAGTGGAAGACAGGAGTGCCTGGTGTGCTCTGGTTCATGGGGTCACGAAGAGGCGGACACGACTAAACGACTAAACAACAACATAAATAAGAGACAGAAAAGTGTTCAAGAGACAGAAAAAAGAGACCAGTCAACACTGAATTTATGTCGTTACGAACTTTTGTACCATTGTCAGTTCTTCCCATAGCATTGCCTTAAAATTTTTGATTGAACAATTTTGCCTCAGAAGCTGTAGATTGGTCTTTCATCCAGACCAAATTTCATGCATGACCAAATGCTTTTATATGCTTAATATGATCTTTGATCATTTTTCTTTGAACACTTTTAGGCCTTTTATTTTCTCATTCATTCTGGAAGTGCTTTGAAGTGTGTGTGTGTGTGTGTGTGAGAGAGAGAGAGAGAGAGAGAGAGAGAGCGTGTTTACCTACTATTTGAGATACATAAGATTGAAGTTCTAGGTGAACTATTTACATAGTTATTTGAATAAGTGATTAAGTGTTTACTTTTTACTTTATTTACCCCTAAATTGTCCTTGCATCCTTATGGGAGTGTAAGACTATTTTAAAATTGACTTAATCTGTATATCTTTATACGTTTATGCTAATCTTTGTACTTTGCAGGTAACAGCCAAGATCCGGATGAGCCAATCTTAGAATTCAGTTTAGGTGAGTAGTTCCATTGTCCGGAGACGTCACTTCCTGATTCACATGGAGAAGCCTTTTTCAAGGGAGCCCAGCGACCGAAGCCCGCAGCTGTATTGAGGCAGCACTGGGTGTTGAAATTTTGCGCCCCTAACCATTTTGTGTCCAGGGCAACCACCCCGTGGCCCTTTCCCACACTGTGCCACTGAGGCAGACAAGTGAAAAATGGGCATTCCCTTCCCCTTTATACTTTGCATATATTTGCGTGACATGGTGTGTAAGCCGTATTGTTTCTTTCCTATAGCTTGCAGCGAGCTCCTTACCCCATCGCTAGATAGAAAGCCAAATAGTTTTGTAGCAGTGAGTGTAACTACACCACCTCAGGCATTCTGGACAAAGCATGCTCAGACAGAGATTATTGAGGTAAGTAATACTACGTTACCCGCTGCGCCAGCCAAAGCACCACCAGTTAATCTTAGTTTTCCACACGTAACTTTTTCTCTTCTTTTTTTTTTTTATTGCAGGGAACAAGCAACCCTATCTTTCTAAGCAGTATTGCCTTTTTTCAAGACTCTCTTATTAACCAGATGACACAAATAAAACTTTCTGTATATGATGTTAAAGATAGATCTCAGGGAACTGTAAGTCCGATTCACCAAATGTCTTCTCTGTCATTCATGTTCAATGTAAACAAAATGTTGCATATGCCTTCGGTCTGAGGTACACTGCCTGTTTTCCCCCTTGAAGGCCAGCACTAACAGTGTAATCCTAACCTTATCTACTCAGAAGTAAGTTGTGTTGAATTCTGCGGGGCTTAGGTAAAGGTAAAGGGACCCCTGACCATTAGGTCCAATCGTGACCGACTCTGGGGTTGCGGCGCTCATCTCGCTTTATTGGCCGAGTGAGCCAGCATACAGCTTCCGGGTCATGTGGCCAGCATGACTAAGCCGCTTCTGGCAAACCAGAGCAGCACACGGAAACACCATTTACCTTCCTGCCGGAGTGGTACCTATTTATCTACTTGCACTTTGACGTGCTTTCGAATTGCTAGGTTGGCTTACTCTGTGGGGCTTACTCCTGGCTAAATGGAGTTAGGATTGCTTTCTTAGTGCTGGGGTCAGAAACTTGAGGCCTAAGGGCCAAATCCAGCCCTCTCCATCCAGCCCTCAGGAGTGTCTGCAGGCCATGCCTCTCCTCCACATCACATCTGTCACTGGCCATGTTTTTAGGCCTCCTTCATGTGCTTTTGCTTGGCTGGAATGTGTCCTTGAACTGTGACAAACCCTCTTGCTTGGATTGAGGATGGAGAGAGGGGTTTGTGTTGCCATTTTTGTGAGGCTAAAATGTAGCCCACTGTACAAAGTAAGAGTCATATCTGTTGCTCCACCCACTATTTTGCCCCTGGCTCCACCCACCACAGGTATGTGGTGCCTGGAAAGTTGCCTATGAAGGAATTTGGCCCTTAGGTTGGAAAAGGTCCCCACCCCACAACGCCTTAGGAGATGGTATTGTTAAATGAGCATTCTAAACATGCGCTTGAAGATGCTCATTTTGGGCGACATCCAATGATTCCCTTCCTCTGATGGACCCTTCCTCTGATGGAGAGTGGGAATCTGTGGATCCAACTGATTAAAAATAACCATGCTTCTCTCTCTCTCTCTCTCTCTCTCTCACTCACACACACACACACACACACACACACTGCCAAATTGTAGTTTATAAAACTAGCCAAGGCTTGGTGTGATGTCTGAATAGATAAAATATGGTATGTATGTAGTCGTCTAGCAAAGCATAATCCCAAAGCCCTGCTTTTGATATTGCAGCCATTGTTCTGTCTCTGAAGACTGTTGAATCCTAGAGACAGAAGTGAACTTATGAACCTGAATACTGCACTGATAGAAAATGAAGGCAGACAAGCCACTCTAAATTGTGATTCGAGTCTTGCAGGCTTTGGAAAGTCAAGCTATCATTCTAAAGTATTTCTAGTGCAGTCTATATTCTGGCACGATGCCAGTACTGAGCCAGAGACAGTGAGAGGCTTTGGTTTCAGACATCACCTTGAAGCCATAGGAATGAGCTTTGTAAATAGAAATTAGAAACGTAATTAGTTTAGGAGTAAAATGTCCTCTGTGTTGACAATACTTGTCTTTTCCAGATGTATCTATTGGGTTCTGTGATGTTCACTGTAAAGCAGCTACTTAAGGAGAGGAACCATAGGTTGCATTTAACACTAAGGTTTGTGCTCCATTTTTGTTCATTTGAAAAGAATCAGGCTTCCACATCTGTGTGTACTATTGGAAAACTAGGCCATTTAACTGCACGATTGATGCTGTTTAAACTGGGGTCCTTTATTGCACCCCAGTTCAGAAAGTGAAGTGTCCAGGCTTTTAGGGCTATGAATGCTCAACGAGACCTTTTTAATTTTGTGTTGTAATGAAATAAATATTGGAACTTCAGAGTTTCCTCTCATCTCGAGTGGCTGTAAGACAATTTAATGTTCAGCACAAATCTTGCACAGGGCAGAGACTTTCTGGTAATTCTTCTTACGTTGGTAAAGTAGAATATTTGTTTTATGATTTTCCCCACCCAGCATAAAAACAGAGATTTGAACACCAACAAGTAACCTCAGGAGTCTTTTTCATGTGCTACTTGTGCGATGGGGCAACCATTGATATAAAGTATTATTTTTAATCTTCTAAAACCTCATTCTTCACAGTTGTATGTGTTCCAAATCTGCACTTTAATAAGTTCTGTGGGTTTTTGTGTTTTGTTTATACTTAGAAATGAAAGCCAATTTCAGGGCATGTCAGAAAAGCTAATTTAAATGTGTATCAGTAAGCCAGCTCCCAGATTCTGAAGGAATATAAAGATGTAAATGCAAAACATTGGTAACGATTCTGTTTGGCAGAGCTTTCATAGATCACAATGACGAGGAAATTGCATCTGGCAAAGTCAATTACATACATGCATATAAGTTTTCAGAAGTGTCCTTCTGCACTTCAACCTCAACATCACATTTATTTTTTTGAATTTTGTCTTAGGCCTTTGGCTTAATGCCAAAGCAGATGCAACTGCATTTGCTAGTATCCCTTCTCCATTACATGTATTTCCTATTTCCTCCTTCTCTTCCCGCTTTGTTGCCTGCCCTGTATTTGAAATGCGTACTGTAAGCTCCTTGGGGCAGGGACCTGTGCATTTTGCTTCTGTAAGGCCTGTAAAGCACTACAAAACTAGTACTATAAGCTCCAAGGGCTGAGAGAATGATTTTACCCAACCTTGGATTGCAAGAGGTTACAAAATACCCAAGGCTACACATATCCATGCATTTAGCATCTTTCTTATATTTTAATATTTTTATATAGCAGTGTTGGATCCTGATCTTTTTGTTTGAGGCTCCATTTATGTAGCTAGAAAGAGTTAACGACAGAGGAAGCTGTAAGAATTGGGGTCTATAGCCAGTTGGCATAGTATGTGCAACAGCAAGCAATCAGTAGTCCTAGCTGATGGATCGCAGCAATGATGTGTGTGTTGCAGATCTGCTGAAAGTGATCGTGTTGGTAACATTACAGTCATAGGATGGCAAGTGGAAGAAAAAACAGACCAAAGGCCTCCAGTTACCAGGTCTCCTGACACCATCAATGGAAGGGTGAGTGAATATCTTGCCCTCCTTCTCAAGACAATGCTGGAAATAAAAGATGTGATTGATGATCTCCTCACCACCTTCTTTTACAACTTTCCCCAACCATCCTCAAGGACAATTCACACTGTGTTGCTGTTCTTTTAACCCATGGAGCTGTTCAGACCTTACTTGGGTGCAAGCTTTCAGGGGGCAAGCATACTGTACATAGCACAGCAACCAGTCCCATGATTGCAGTAGTTGTGCCACTATAATATCAGGAAGTATATCTGGGATTTTATTCCATGCTGATGGGTATCTCATTGCGGAACAATAATTTCAGAAGCGTGTATCTTGCTGTCAATTTTTATTTTTCTCACTGGTCAAGACTAGAGAGAGAGTCCATGAATTCCACTGAGGATTATCACACTGACAGGTGGCAGAATATACACAAATATAGCTCAGGGTTTCTTTATGCTGTAGCTGCATGTAAAACATCCCTGAATGCTACACATTTATCTTATAGCAGGTCTTGTTGAAAATGTCTCAGAAGTAAACAGTCCTCTATAGCTCAGTACATTTTATTTTTTAAAAAGTCAGTGATGAAGCATTGTGTTTTGTGTATTAATACTATTCTCGTTTTCTTCAGACTGTGCTGTCAGTTGATGAAAGTTTAACAGAATCTTTAGGAATCCGATCCAAATATGCTTCATTACGGAAAGACGTGTTGTTAAAATCCGGTAAGTGGATCCCATATAGCTCAAGTGTTCCAGCAAATGACTTCCTAATCTTCAAATGTGTGCTGAGTCACAATCTTGACTGCATTAAAGGAATTGGGTGTATCTGCATTTGTTTTAACTGATGTGTCATCTTGACGACATGCATATAAGTAGATGGGGACAGGGGTGCACTGCTGATCTGAATTTAAGAGCCTAAGAACATAAGATGAGCGTTCTGGGTCAAACCAATGGCCCATCTGGTACAGTATCCTATTCTCACAGTGGCAAACCAGAGGCCAGTGGGAAACCTGCAAGCAGGACCCAAGCACAAGAGCCCTCTCCCCTCCTACGATTTCCAGCAACTGGTATTCAGAAGCATTAGAGACTTTGGTTGCAATTTCTGATCATTTGTATTGGACTAATACAGTGGTACCTCGCAAGACGAATGCCTCGCAAGACAAAAAACTTGCTAGACGAAAGGGTTTTTTGTTTTTTGAGCTGCTTCGCAAGACGATTTTCCCTATGGGCTTGCTTCGCAAGACGGAAACGTCTTGCATGTTTGTTTCCTTTTTCTTAACACCGTTAATACAGTTGCGACTTGACTTCGAGGAGCAACTCATAGAACGCGGTGTGGTAGCCTTTTTTGAGGTTTTTAAAGACTTTGGTGATTTTTGAAGCTTTTCCAAAACTTTCCCGACACCGTGCTTCGCAAGACGAAAAAAATCGCAAGGCGACAAAACTCGCGGAACGAATTAATTTCGTCTTGCGAGGCACCACTGTATAGTGTTTAGTGCCATTGTTATTGGCCATCGTGTTGTGTTATTTTGTTCAGCTCCAGCTGAGCAGAGCAGAGCAATCATGGCTGGTAGCCATCAATAGCCCTCTCCGGTATGAATTGCTTAATCTTCTTTTAAAGCCATCTAGATAGGTGGCCATCACTGCCTTAATATCTTCCAACATTCAGCTGCATTGGATGTCTATGAATTCCAGTGTTACGAGAAAGAGAAAACATTTTCTCGATCCACTATGCCATGAATAATTTTATGAACTTCTGCCATGTCGCCTCATACAAGCCTTTTCCCTAAGCTAAATAGCCCAACATCTCTCCTTATAAGGGAATTGCTCTGTCCTTTATCATTTTGGATGCCCTTTCCTGAACCTTTCCACACTCTACAATATCTTTTTTGAGATGAGGCAACCAGAACTGTCCTTTCTTCTTGATCCCTTGCAGTGAATTCTTCACAGCTGCTGCACACTGGGTTGAAATTTTCATAAAACGATAGATAGATAGATAGATAGATAGATAGATAGAAGCAAGCAGTACTAGCAGAGTTGTAGCATAAAGTTTTTGATGCAAAATGTCTTGCAAGGTTTCCCCCAAAAAACATCACTGGAAGCAAAAGTTAGTTTTCAGTGGCAACAGTTGATATGCTGTGTGATCTAGAAAAAAAGTATTTGTGTGTCGCTTAAGTGCTTCTCTGCATGCACAGGGAGACATGCCAATTTTTTGCTCACAGTTGCAGTGCCATGTGCTGTATGAAACATGTCTCTGGAAGGGCTTCGGTTAGAAGCACATGGCAGCCCACATTCACAAAGAGCTGCAGGAGGAGGAAGGGAAGTCCTTAGAGCAGCCTTCCCTAAACTGGTTTTGGACTACAATGCCCTTTAGTCCCAGTTAGCAGGTCAGCAGTTGAGGATTATGGGAGTTGCAGTCCAAAGCATTTGGCGGGCACCAGACTAGGGAAGGCTGCCCTAGCAAATGCACATAAACCTTTGGATCTTGACCACCGTTGTATCACTGGCTGAAGACAGAGGCAGCTCACAACACTGGGAAGACACTTCCAGGTCTCTTCTAGAAAGATATACCCACAGCTGTTTCTGTTGTAACCAGCAGATGGAATGCTGATAAATCCTTTTGTGCCTCTCCCTGCTTGTTTTGTTTCCCAGCCATAGGAGGAGGCAAACTGCCCTGCAGCCCAGCTGCCTAAGATAGGTGGAGGGTTGTGCTGTGAGCTCCCTTTCCATATCACATCTGTCTTCAGTCATGTTTCATCAGCTGGGGATGTACTTGTAAGAATGATGCAACAAAATAATTGTGTGTGTGTCCATATACATACACCATTGAGACTCTTTTCTATATAACTTCGTCATGTGAACTCATTCTGAGTGGCTTGCTGCAGAGTGGCAAACTAAACAGAATTGCTTATTTTTCAGTGTTTGTTGGACACAGAGCATTACTCATCCAAACGCTTATCTAGCATCATCTGTGCTGTTGCTAATAAAGGCTTCCTTTCACCAATATCTATTATTATGGTAGCACTCTCCTTGGACATCAGTACTGGGAAGCTAAGGCACTACTTGGAAACGAACAGCCACACAATTTATGTGATTGTGTGCAGGAGAAAAGTCTAGGCCACGTCACGTGGATGAAGCTTGGGTTGTGGGATTAGGATTGCCTGCAAAAGTGTGGTCCCGAAAAGCTCATTATAAAGCTGTTGGGCATCTGCGTTGTAACCCAAATATACATGTCTATGACTATAACATTTTTAATGCACATTTTTAAAATAAAAAAATGCAGTATATGGAAAAGTGAATCAAGAATTGATCAAACCTCAATTTCTGCTTTTGCTGTGGTTGTTTGAATATGTGCATTGGGTGGGGGCGGGGAGTTAACTAAGTGCAATGCTGTTACATTAATCTTTTGTATGTTTTGGTGTAATAGGCCATTTGTGATCTCTGAGCCTCTTAACAACTTTGGTGTTAGAGGAACGGAGTTTGTATTATCTGGTAGCAAATTATGTCTTTTAACATTTTAGTGTTTGGAGGGGCCATTTGTCGGATGTATCGCTTCCCCACCACGGATGGGAACCACCTTCGGATCTTGGAACAAATGGCAGAGAGTGTGCTCTCCCTACACATTCCCAGACAGTTCGTGAAACTGCTACTTGAGGAAGATGCTGCCAGGTAAATCCCACCAGCACCACAAGAGCAGTCCCTATAGAAATGTTTTTGAAGTTATTAAGAAAATAATATATTGTATGCAGCTTCGTTGTAAATACCTGCCCTCACAGCTCTGCATTTCTGACCCACTCTCCTGACCTGCCTTGCAAAATCTTTTGAAGGAGTATTGCTAGGAACGTCCAAGTCCCAGTGGCACAGACCCATTTTATGAACTTGCAAATTTAGGCTGATTTTCCAAAAATCAACAACAAATTCTGGTTTTGGCTGCCTGAACTGTCATGGATTGTTTTCAGCCTAGTTAACGGTTAGGATGTGATTCCCTTCTGTCTTCCTGTGACTGAAAGATGTTACCAGCTGAACTGAATCAGGGCTTTGTCAGTTTGTACTATCAGATAACTTTTTGATAGATATAATGATAATCTGGCTAGCTCAAGTGGAGTCAGGACTCAGGATAAACCGAGTATGCCATGAGAAGTGCTGCTGTTGCTATTACATTATTCAGCTGCAGTTCTATAAAAAGCCAACCTCAAGCTTTGAGGTAAATCTTTAATGAGAACTGGTTCCCATGGCCTTTTACTGTTTTGAAGCTCCTGGCGTTACACAGCCTAGTTGAAAAGTTATTTTAAAGGTGATGAAATATTATTATATTTGAAACTCTGATTTCTGCATACATCATCTGCTGCTCATTTTGCTTGGCTATTACTATGGTTTGTTGGACCTCAATTCATTTAGAGGTCACTGGCTACTTGACTCCTTTTGTAGTAGCTTTGTATTGGGTTAGGAAACTAAATTAGGGCAATGGCAAAAATTAGGAGGCATCTACACTAAAAACATATGTAAAGTTCAATGAAGGTATCACAGGAAACTCTCTTTGGACACATCAGTTTTCACTGATTTGAAGAGAAGCAAATATTGCTGATAAAAACATACTTGTGGGTTTGTGTCCAACTTAATCCTATAGTCAATCATGGTATCGGCCAAGAAACATTTCCCGGTGTTCTCCCATACCTCTCTGTATTTTTTCATTTTATATACCTCCCGAAGTTGATTGGTAATACTTTTTAGCTTGTTCACAGTTGTTATCTGAGCCTTATTTGGATGTTCAGGTCCCTCTCGTGATTAGAATTGTGTGAGGGAGAGGAGGGAATACACTGTCTGTCCCCGCCCCTGAATCATACCCCCTGGCTCTCCATGTGTCCCCCATTTGATAAACTAAATTGATCCTAAATTGCATGTGGAACTTCAATAAGAACAGCAGGCTCCCTGCTGCAGATGTTCTCCTTCCAACCCAAGCAGGATGCTGGGTCAGGATGGACACAGGTGTCACTGGGAACATTGAGCATTACTCTGCTCTCCTTCTTATTGTGTATGGAAGAGAAGTCCTGAATAGGGGACTTTTCCATGAGTTTTGGGCAAGTATCTTTGAAATACTTCTTTTTAAGAGTTGGGAAGGGCTGTGTATCTGTGACCATGGCAGAGAAGCAAACCTCCTGGCAATGGGTTGGGAAAAGAGAAGAGTGGCGCAGTCTGGGAATAAGGTTTTTGGAGTGGCCCATGGCTCCTCTAGCCCCAAACCTGCTTATGTTTCAGCAGCAGTTTTTAAAGTAGATGACTGCACCATGGTGGCGGCTTGTTGCTCCATCCATCCTGCTCTTCTTTCTAGTCAAATGTTATGCCTGTGTATGAAATCCAGCAGTATTGGGGCATATCTAGTGTGCAGGGTGGAAAGGTACAGACACATTTCCTAATTATGCATAGCGGAGTGGGTAGGAATTATGCATATTTCGGGGTGGGTAGGAAGTCGGGCTTAATCTGCTCATCTTTGTAGAAAAAGGATGGCTTTGGATACTAGTAATGATCAATGGTCCTAATTCTTCAGTTGTGAAGGGTTATGCATTGACAATGTACTGACATTTGCACCTTTTGATTCCTAGTAACACAGATGTATTGAAAACATTTCTCAAATCTTACTCTGCATGTGACATTTCAAAAAGGCTTAAATGAGTTCATCGGCATCACAAGCCAAAGAGGAATGAGAAGAAACAGGATTTGCAGAGGAGGGAAATGACTCAGGGAGGGTTGCTGAGTTTGATGGAACCACATGAGTGAGAAGTGATCTCTTCCAGTGCTTGACACAGAGCCAGTCACTCTCGTTTTCACCCCTCCAAAGAATGTGTCACTTACAATAGCAAACTCGGAATTGATTTAGTTTAGTTTCCACAGGCAGAGTGCCATCAGATGGCTAGGTTTTAGGCAGGCCTGTGTGGAGCTTGTCTGAGGCCCAGAGTGTGGGTCTTGTTAGAATAAAGTTATAAACTGAAAGAAAAAAGCAGTCAGTCCCTGGCAGGGTCTAGCTCCCTTCCCTCAGCCCTCTGGCCAGCTTATTCCTCCAAGACCTGGGATAAGTGTATCTGGCTGCCTGCCCCCTTGCACGGGCCTGGTTTCAGGGTCCCTCCAATTCTCTCTCCTTTCCCCTTTAAAAAGGGAAAACCTCTCCTGCCATTTTCAGAATAGCAAAATATGCTCACATGGCTGCTATAGGTACCTCTGCAGGGCAAGTTAGGTTGTCGGTCTGGCCTGTGTTCCAGGTCACCTTTGATGGCATGCAAGTAATGTCTAGTTCTACCCATTTCTGTCCTCAGTAATGATGCTGATCTGTGGCTATGGTGCACTTGAAAATATTGTCCTGTTGCAATGCTTCAATTTTAGCGCATGTGCCACAGAAGTGAGGCCAATCCAGCTGGAAAACCAAACGGAATGCTTTTTGATGATACAATAATCACACAGGCATCAACACTGCATGTTTCCTGTTCCTAGGATCAAACTTAAAGGCATTTGTAGAATTAGGGTTTTGTGCTTCTTCCCAAATGTGGGGACACCTGTGTGGTTAATACAGAATGCATGTTTGGAACTCTGTTTGTATGATTATTTTTAAAACACCTGATGTAATGTATGATTCAGCTGTTCTCTAGAGAAAAACGGTTAAACTGTGGGCACATCCTATTTGCACCACAGATGTAGTGCCTGGGCATGGAGCATTGGCACTAAAAAAGTTCTGTTTCACTCTCCCTTCCACCTCCATCTGTGCCCAGACACACGTGTGGGCAACTGGGTAGGACATAAGGAAGTGCATCTTCCCAAATGTGGGGACACCTGTGTGGTTAGCCTCCATGAAGTCACACAAGAGATGGCACAATGCACCAGAATGAACCTGTAGTTTTGTCTGGTTTAAGGCAAGTGTAAGGATTGGCTGTAGTCTTTTGTGCAGATAGTATATTGTTCTGTATGACTGTCAGGTGTAACAGTGCCACAACACCTTTTTTAAAAAAACAAACAAAGGTGCTTTGGGAGGGAGGGATTTTAGAAAACATAAGCAGATGATGGAGAGAAACCGTGCCAAGCCCTTTCCCTGCTCATTTCCGCACTCAGACATACATGGTTTAGAACCTGTGTTTGCTTCCAATGGGACCCTTCCACAAATAAAAAGTGTACTTAGGTTTGTGGAAGAGTCTTTGGTCTAGTGGACACACAGCCTGATGGAAGAGGAGGGGAGGCAGTTAATGCTGATTGCCTGCAGCCCTCCACATGATATCAAATGCTGTTATGGGCCATGCACAAACCATAAATTTAAAGCACATTTAACATCCCACCCCGAATCCTGGGAGCTGTAAATTACCCCTTACAGAGCTACAGTTCTCAGGATTCTTTTGCGGAGGGGGAAGTTGTGCTTTAAATTTATGGTGTGGACACAGCCTAGGGGGTCCCCTAACTTTCTAGAGAAGATTTTTGGCTGGCTGAAGGGAGCAATCTCAAGAGTCATCTCCTCTCCGCTAACAGAAGAGGTGTTCATTGGATCAGAAACACAGCTGAATTCATCCCTTTGTAGCACTGCATTCTGAGACATTTCCTTTGACCTTTTTTGGAGCTCAGTGTTTACAAATGGAGACTCACAAAATTTCACAGGTATGATGGGGAATACCCCCCCTTCCTCAGCGCTGCAGAGAGCGCCTTTCATGAAGCTGAATTGCAAGTCAGTTAAGCTTATCTTTCAAACAGTGTAGAAACCAGCCCAAACTTGACTAATGTCTCAAAATGGCACTGATGTGCTTGAGGAAGGAGCAAGTAATATATATGGTTGAAGGCAGACTTTGCTTTTTGTTGGTCATACAACCAAATTAATAGCATCTCCCTGTCTTTTTGGGGTGTTTTTGTGTAGGGTTTGTGAACTTGAAGAACTGGGAGAGCTGTCCCCTTGTTGGGAAAGTCTTCGTCGGCAAATAGTTACTCAGTACCAAACGATCATTCTAACGTACCAGGAAAACCTCACAAATCTTCACCAGTACAAAGGTAACTGACATCTTTACCACCACCTCCATAATACAGAACGCATGTTTGGAACTCTGTTTGTATGATTATTTTTAAAACACCTGATGTCATGTATGATTCAGCTGTTCTCTAGAGAAAAACGGTTAAACTGTGGGCACTTCCTATTTGCACCACAGATGTAGTGCCTGGGCATGGAGCATTGGCACTAAAAAAGTTCTGTTTCACTCTCCCTTCCACCTCCATCTGTGCCCAGACACACGTGTGGGCAACTGGGTAGGACATAAGGAAGTGCATGGAGGACCAGCCCTAGCACTAGGCAGAGGGAGGCAACCACCTCAGGTGGCAGATGCTAGGCGGAAGAAGCAGTTCCTGGCTCTGCCTCCTGAGCATCCCCAACCCTTCGCCTTTGCTGCCACTCATCTCCTTGTTCCCTTATTTACCTTGCTTCAGAGCATATTATCCTGTCACCAGAGCTGCAAGGTTTAACTGCCAGTCCAGTAAGCTTCTGTATGTGAAATGGGGAAAGGATGCTCTCTTATCCTTCCCTTCAGAAAGAAAAACATATTGGGCATTTTCCCTGCAACCCTATCTAGCCCATCCTTCTCTGTTCAGTGCAAGTAACTGGAGGGAAGGCTAGCTTGAAAACCTAAGAGATTTTCCATTCCCTGAATGTGCATCCGTTTATACCTTGCCTTTTGATGCAAACGCCAAGTCAGCTCACAAGGAACAGTAAATTTCAAACAACTGGAAAGTGACACTAAAACCACAAGGGAAAACAATAACAGCAGATGAAAGCAGCAGCAGCAGAAAACCATTGAAAGGATCCTGATTACCATTAAAAGAACAGAAGAACAGCAAGGACTTTGCCTGGAGCCTAAAAAAAATATGAGGTGTGCCCATCTGTGTACGTAGATGGAGGAGGAAGAAAACAGGGCTTTGAAGATTCCTACTGGGATTCTCCACCTGTGGTGCAAGTGGATTGTGTACCTTTAACTTTTCTTACCTGTGTTTTTTATCTGGGTTTCTGACTTCAGAATTCCATTCTTTAAACACAAAACAAAAAGCTTGCCACTTATTGTCCAACCACACCATCCTAAGTTTCTATGATTCTTTGGCGCAAGCCAGGTGCCTTAGATATGCAGTTAAATGTAGTTTAAATGTATGGTGTGGATGTCGCCGTGTGTTGGGATTAGCATCATCTATTTAAACAAAGGACTTACTCAGTTTAGGGGGGAAAGATGGAGTTCACTTTTAACAGCAAAAGAGAGGGGTGCTGAACATTCCCAACATTTCACTGCATACCCTCCATCATTTTCAAAGAGGCCCTTTAGGAAATCTCATTGCCAGTACAAACTTCATGCTGCAGTTTTTGTACTGCAATTTGCCAACAAATTTTTCTTAGTGGTTGCATTTTTATGGACTCAGCATGCAGAAATCATCTTCTTTATATCCTCAGGTCCATCGTTCAAAGCAAGTAGCCTGAAAGCTGACAAAAAGCTGGAATTTGTGCCCACAAATTTACACATACAGCGAATGAGAGTCCAAGATGATGCAGGATCAGGTATTTTTTTTTCTTTCTTGCTCATATATCCTGTAGGTTCTATTCTCTCTCTCTCTCTCTCTCTCTCTCTCTCTCTCTCTCTGTGTGTGTGTGTGTTTTCCCAATCCTTCACAGAGATGCTGGGTTTTGAGCTTGCAACTTTTTCATGCAAATTATGTGCTCTACTATTGAGTTACAGCTTTCATTTTTTTGAAAAAATAAAGTTTCTAGCCCTCCTACAGAAAAAGTTATGAAGTGAAATGTGCGGGTACTTCAAAACATTACTGTGAAATGAGCCAGCCTGGTTGCTCCTGATTGCCTGTGTTTTTAGCCAACCAGTGAAACCAGAGCTTTGATAAGTGAATTGTTTAGACACCAGGCATTGGAATCCCTGGGTTCCTAAGGGGCTGCTCTTTTCCCCTCCTCTTTAGTCTACTTCTCCTGCTTTTGCCTTATTTTCTAGTCCTCAGATTCTCCATAGTTTGCCCTTCCATTTTTTCCCTAGCAATCAGAATGCATCTTTCCTGTGTTGGGTTCGTCTGAGATCAGGTAGTCCCTAGAAGTTATTTTCTGCAAATACTACTACATACTCTGCATGAGTGGATTTTAAAGACCCCTCTTTTCCAATAAAATGGCAACTGCAAAGTATGAAAATTTGCAGAATGTCTACTGCTCTGCAGGAGTTGAAGGCTGAAGCCCAGGCACTCATTAAGAATGCACTGTTTAGTTAACTTACAGAACAATTATATACTTGTCTTTTCAGAAGTAAGTCTGTGTTTAATAAGGCTTACACCCAGGCAAGTGGTTTAGGGGTGGCACTGGGCAAAAGTAGGGGTTTTGTGCCTTTGGCACCTGTATGGCAGGCAGAAACTCAACAAGGTTACTCCTTTCCTAGTACAGAAATATGATTACAGGAAAAGCTTCAACGTGACAGCATTTTCTCTAATTTGTGTTATGCTGTGCCCCCCCATGGCAGCTGTTTTGTTACTGGTACCCCACAACACTCTCTCAGAAATCGAAATGTGCTCACTGGTCTAAAGCGCTTGGCAATCCCCAGATATATTAGGTGCTTTGCAAATTACATTCTTGTAGTACAAATTCTCACAGGCTTGCAGTCCAAGTCTGGATGGTGAGTATTCTCCTTTAAACCTCTCCTCCTCACTTTTGGCTTTGTTTAGATCAGAACTATGATATTGTAACTATAGGAGCACCAGCAGCTCACTGTCAAGGCTTTAAGTCTGGAGGCCTGCGGAAAAAGCTGCACAAATTTGAAGATGCCAAGAAACAGTAAGTAGAATGCTTGGTGGCTGTCTGCCCTCTCCTGTAGCCCTCGTTTTGTAAAAAGCATCTAATACCTTGTGTCTTTTTTTATTGCTTCTACATATAGGAAGCTTCACTCCAAAACCACGAAGATTAGAGCCAGTTTATGGAAAGAGTTTGACAGAAGAAGGTTTTCCCATTTTTTCAGCCAGTAATTTCACTTCAGTTTTAAGTAGATAAATAGATAGCTTATGACAGCTTAATGAGCTATTGTATATTTAATATAAGCATTAGCCTTTCTGTATAGATGTATAAAAGGTTTGACTGTACGTGTAGATTCCTGCAGTCCCTAAGTTTGACCTAGGCTGTTTTTACCCTTTGATCTGAGCAGCTGAAATCAAATCAAAGGATCAGAAGTCTGTGGGCAGCTCCTGGGTCCCTTTCTGCTCCTTATACTGCTACGGCATCACCATTTCCTGGCAACTTTATTTTTACTGTGTCTACTCCCTGTAGAGGGAGAGGGATGTTCAGGGAACATCCTGAAATAGTCTAGAAAACTGGTCTTTAACCTTTCTCCTAATTTTTCAATCTAAAGGTTTTTGAAGATTCTTAATGACTGTCTTTATTGAAGCTTCCCAATCTGCAGTCAGATGGGAACATGGCTAAACTAAATTTCCTAGCTTCTGTCTCTGTCATTTCCTAATAGGTGCCAAAGACCTTTCTTGAGAACATGCTGAAAGAGCGAGACTCCCTATTCTTTCTTGGTCTTTTAGCAATCATCTTAGGTTCTGTGAAAAGGAAATTCAATCAGTGCTTGCTTCTTCTTTTTTTAAGAGTGAGATTGTAAACTCTGACCCTTTTTGGAGTGGGCATTCCTACTATATTTTCTCATTAGAGAGCAGAAACCTTTTGTATTCTATAACTGCAGGAATGGCTTTGAGGAAGCACACTCTCTGGTTTCCTCTAGCAGCTGGTTCGTTTGGAAGACAGAAGAGATAGGAGTGATTTACACTTCTACCTTCTGTGTTTTCGCTATAAAATTTAAAATACGGAATGTAAATCTTAATCCTTGGATGAGATGCTCGATTCCCAGAGGGAATCGCTAGTAAACTGGCATACTGGAATTGCCACAGTTCTGACATTGTTCCCTGTCTACACTATAATACAAAAGGTTAAGTCTATATATGCCTGAAGGGGGGAAAGGTACTGGGAAAATGTCAAAACGCATATCCATAGAAGTTTCTTAAGCTGGCCGGAAGTGTCTCAGATGCAGCATAGAGATGCAGATTCCATCCTCGTCGTCTTGTGGTCCCCACAGTCAAAACCAGAGAGGAAGGAGGACAGCAGCCGGGTGGGCTGGCTTCTAGTTTTGCTTGTTTTTTTAAGCTGGACACTTTTGTGCCGTTTCCACCCTTTCAGGTTTAAATGGTTCAGTGGTAAACCAGTCACCCAGAAAGATAACATCTGCACGTGAGGAATACATGCAGAAATTTCCTTTTAGAAAGCCACTCTACTTGAAACCACTATGGAAGACATTTCATATAAGCGTGCACCTTACAACCATTTCTCCACCCCACCCCGATTGTGCTACAGTCAGACCCATGTTTTTATCATAGGTGGAACTCCTGGCAAAGGACTGGCTTTTGGGGAACATACCAGATGTCTGTACTAGCTGTTGTATCACTACTATTACTTGATGTTGTATTTTGCAAAAACATATTTGTATGGAGAAAAATATGTGGCAAAAGTCTACACTAAACTATAATTATTTGATCTCTGTTGGTTTTAAGTGACTTGTTGTCACTGCCACATCAGGTATCGTTTTTAACCAACAGATGGTGGTCCAGTAAATAGAATTATTCTTCCTGCTGGTTCTGTTGGTACCTGGGAAGAACATGGGCGCTGCAGTCCTCTAAATTTTTTGATGTTTAATATGTTGTGGAAACGTTGCATGAATAGAGGATGGGTGGAAGGAAGCAGCGCAACTCATTGAACTTGCTGCTTCTCCTTTATTTCTCCTCCTCTATAATATCTCCAGTCCTTCCTGTCTTCCTGCCTGCTAGAAGTCTCCTGGTCACAGCAAGGAGGGAGGTGGGGTGTTGTGAGGTCTGCATAAGGGTTATTAATAGTGATGAGGGGAATTGTTCAGTAATTTACACTGCCCAGAACAATAACAGAAACCAAAACACAGCTATCCTTTGGAATTTGATCTTCTAATATTACAGTGCAGTTCTCATAACAAAAATGTATCAAAGTGAACTGTGTATAAAAATGCATATATGAGTGAACATATACAAAACTGCATTACATTAGAGGAGATTGCTAGCAAAAATGTGTGTTAGGGGGAAATGCATACATAAATCTGTATATTAGAATACATACTAAAATATCGATAAATTTCCATGATGTGGAAATCTGAACTTCTTATTGGAAAAATGAGAAACCAAAAAGGACCTATATATCCACCCCAAGCTATTAAGCAACCCACACTTGAGTCAGGATTGACTAATCTGCAGGGCAGTTCTTTTTTTAACTCCTTCCACCTCTCTGGATAACAGACACCTGTGCCATATCAGAATCTGCTTCTAAAGGTTCCTTCATTGCCAAACCAGTTTGGTATTTTGGGTGGGAGGCTGATGATTAATGAGAAACATGAACTGTACCCCCCCCCCCAAATCTGTGCAAAGTAAATTGTGTAGTTCTTTGGATCCCAGCCCATAGATTTGTGTTATGCTGCCAGATTGCAGTTATTTGTGCATTTTGCAGTCAAGCTCCTTGTGTCGCATGTAGCACCCATTGTGCTGATGCAGCCAGAAATCTATGGAATGGGTTGCAAGTCAAAAACCATTCTGTATTGACTATGATTTTGTTTTGCTTACAATTTTAATGACATAAGCAAACCTTATTGGGAAAAATATTTAAAACAACTAACATTGTTTATCTAATGTTGCTTTGCTTTGTTTTTTGCTTTTGGTATCTGCTAACAAATAATGGCTAACTTTCATTTGGTTTTATTTTTTTTAGCAGTTATGAGGAATGTTGGTGAGTTTTCTGTTTCTCAGTTTGGAGGCAGAACTTTCCTGTTTGATCTTTTTCTTTTTTTGACAAAAGTTAATGTGTTTATGTACAGAGATGCCTCCCCCTTTTAATACTTTGCATTTGCTTTTGCTAATTTTGCTTCATTCAGTTAATGTGGTTGTTTACTGGGGTATGTTGCATGATTTAATTTGATCTTGTCATCTGCATTATTTGCCTTCCTAATGAACAGCTAACACAGACCAAGTTTGGTTGCTAGAACCTTGGGAGCCAATTTAATTGGAATGCTTTAACTTTAAGAGACCATTTTTGTTAGAAACTGAAAATACTCAGAATACGACATGAACCTTTTACATTATATTGGTCACTCTTTTTATGCATCCACAAATGTATGAAAATTGGTTAGATGATTTGGGCTTTGAACTTCAAGTTGCCAGTGAAGGCTGATAGCTGTTCATTTGGGAGAATGACTGCAGATAGTAGTTTGTCGTCTGTGAACTTCATACCATCAAATAATTTATTTCCTCTTATTTGGCAATAGATTTGCTTCCCTTCTTTTAATATGAGACTCACCAGGCTGCATGGACTGTGCTACCAATTATATCCTAATTCTTCTGCATGATATCTCCCTTATTGTAAGAAAAACGGTTAATAACTCTGGATAGTTGGATGTGACTATTGAGATGGTGCAGAGATTTTTAAACAGCTGTCCCATATAGAAACAAGGAACCCTGGCAAAAATCCAATAAAAGAGGCATGCTAAAGCTATTTTGAATCAGTAGGTTTAAACATGCCAAACAGAGTTTGATAAAGGCTGCTGTCCTTGAAATTGCTGGTCAAGAGCCATAAATGACCCAATTGCTATGACCATTGCTGACAGTTTCAGTAAACACATTGTTTCCAGTTAGTGGTTTTCAAGACCTTTGATCCTGCAAAGTTAGGAATTCTAGATCCATTTTGTCTAAACAAATGATGTGTAGAACAACAGCCACACTCCCCAAAAGTGATGTCCAACATTACCAGCCCTTTGGAACAGCTGTTGTTTTGAAAAAAGAAGATGCACCTTTAGGCTTACATACCCACATGATGGGATCTTATTTTCAACTAGGCATTGTGCCAGTATAGCACTCTTCCACACATTTTTGCTCGAGGACAGGAGAGGGGAACCTGTGACCTTCCTAGATGTTGTAGGCCTACGACTTCCATCAGCCCCGGCTACCATGGTCAAGGGACAGGGATTATGGGAGCCCTGTAGTTGCATCAGCAATATAGGTAGAGGGTTAAGGGTAAGAATAACATCCTGGTTTTGCAACATGTTTGGGACTGCAAAAACAGTGAGGGTTGCAATCAGATGGCAGTCCATACAGCACTTGGCTGGTGGAGTCTGTTTGCCTTGGCTGGTCACAGGCAGTGCAGATTTGAGACTCATGCTTAAATGAATTTAAACTGGTGAGGACGATTGAACATGGGGCCAAGCCACTATCCTCTTGTGTGTGTAAAATGACACCAGGCATCGGCTGAGGTCTTTTGAGTTGGTTGAAGGCAGAAATTGAACAGCATTTTCCTCCCTCAACCACTAGGGGGAGCTCAACTCTTGCCTGATGTCATCTTTGCATGAACGGAGAAGACCTTATCAGGGTAAGAACTGATGGTCAATTCTGAGTCAAAGGCTTATGAGCAGAAATAGTTTTGCTTTGTTTATTTATGAAGTAGAGATAGTAAGTTCTAGTAACTGTGAGCTTTCTAGAGGACTTTGAAGCCTACCAAATTGTAGGAAATAAATTATCTTTTAAAAAAATATTTGTTTGTTAAATGTGAATAAATAAATGTATGTTTAGAGCAGGGGATTAGACCAATACTGCAATCCTAACCCCACTTACCTGGGAGCAAGCTCCACTGAATTAAGTTGGACTTTCTTCTGGGTAGACACGGTTAGAAGTGTGCTATAGGTCACATTAAATCCTTATTTAATGTCCCTGTGGAAGTTATGAGCAGTCACTTGGCATGCGCAGCGTATGTTGCCACCCAAGTGCTTTCATTAAAGGCAGAGTTGGGCCTGGGTGGTAATCTGAACATGAGTCCTTGTAGCACCTCTCGGTCTCTTCATGCTTGATAGTTAATTGGGAGAAACTGTTTGCCTCTGCTTTCTCCTTTTTCAGCATGGAAAAGGAATGGAATTGCAGTGCTGATCTGTTGGATTGATTTTTATTTTTATGTTTTTTTTAAAAAATTATCCCTTTTTCCACCCCCCAGCACTTCGACCAATACCCAGTCAATAGTGTACATACCACAAGATATTATCCGAGCAAAGGAGATTATTGCACAGATCAATACCTTGAAAACTCAAGTTAGTTACTACGCAGAAAGACTCTCCAGAGCTGCCAAGGACAGATCCGCCAATGGGCTTGAAAGAACACTTGCCATTCTGGCAGATAAGGTACGGGATATGATCAAGAGTCCCTATGTCCCATTGTGGTCTCTCTGAATATACCGAGAAGGCAACCTTGGCTATCCTCTTTGAATATTAAGTTTTGACTGTAAGAGAGCATGGCAAGGTAGTCTTAGTGGTTCCTCTGCAGTTCCTGAATTCATGATGGAATATGGACTGTAGAAAGAGTTGCAAAATACGTTGTTGTCTCAATCCTTTCTAGACACGGCAGCTTGTCACCGTCTGCGACTGCAAACTGCTGGCAAATTCAATACATGCGCTGAATGCTGCAAGACCAGATTATATAGCTTCAAAGGCCTCTCCAACCTCTGTAGAAGAAGAGCAAGTGGTGCTGAGGAATGACCAAGATACCCTGGTGGCCAGGTGGACAGGAAGAAATAGCCGATCTTCTCTACAAGTGGACTGGCATGAAGAAGAATGGGTAGGTTTGTTGACCTGGGATTCAGTTTCTATTAGCAGTCTTGCTGCTGAAAGCTTGAGGGGTATAGTTATACTACATCTCTCCATTCTGTAGACTTGGGTTTTCAGGGATCACCAGGGATCCATGAACTTCACTCAGGGGAAGACACTGTGTGCCTTTGTTTCTATGGCTGAAAAAGGGAGGTGGCACATCCATCATTTTAAGCAATAATATTGTTTTATTATTATTTTGAAATTTGAATTCTGTAGAATTTAAACTGAATTCAGTAAGATATATATAAGAAATAAAAGCAACAAAATTACAATTATAAATCATAAATCTAGCACAGTGGATTACAATTGCTGCAGAAAAGGTACAATTGCTGCTGAAAGGTCTGCCAAGAATCTCAATTTTCAAGTGGTCAGTGGGCAAAATTTTCGGGGAAAGTGCTGTTACAGGCACATTTTTTATGGAAAGCAAAATCTGAAGACTATCATCTACTATTGGAAGGCTCTTCAACTAGTCAGCCCTCAGCTTTTTAACTGATAAATGATGTTAACTGATATTCTTGTTAGGAGCAATGAAAAATAGTGTCATGAAGGCCAGTCCCCAATTAGTTTTTCCACCAAAATATGATCAGAATTTGTAGCCCTTCTTTATATTGGTATGAGACAGAAAATGATATGCATTATTTAATGGATTTCATCTCTCTTGAACTGCCTGTACAAATGGGAGCAACAATATCTAAACAAGTTTTCTAACTTCCCAGGTGGTGTGATGCTATACTTATTTTTTTTATAGTGGAAAGCAAAAGATGCTGTAACATCTTGTAGGACTTGAATCAAACTGTGCAGTTTCATCCAACCAGAAACTGATGTTGACTGTTTTTTAATTCCGTTGCAAAGTTAAAATGGCTAGAAAAGGGTTGTAAAGCACATGTACTGAGCACCTTACAGGGAGAGCCTATAAAATACACCCTCATAAAAAATGGAAAACATTCTCCTGAAAGATAGTCTTGTGGCTGAGCCCATTGTGTTGATAAGTTTCTTGTTCTACTTCGGGCTTTTTCAACTGCTATTTTGACCCAAGATCCTTCCCGCACTGAGATCAGAATGATGTAACCTCTCCCCCCCCCATGTTAAAGTTACAGGAGTCTTTAGTTAGTCCGTTTGTTTTTCATTCCTTCCCAGGAAAAAGTCTGGGTGAATGTTGACAAAAGTCTTGAATGCATTATCCAGAGGGTGGACAAACTCCTCCAGAAAGAGCGTTTGCATAGTGATAGCTGTGAAGACGTTTTTCAGTGTGACACCAGCTGTTCTAGCAAGAAAGGTAAACGGGATACCCGTGCGTACTGGATAAAGCCACGCACCTCATCATCTTCGTCATCCCCATCATCTTCATCCATACCATCCTCTGCATGCCATTGCCCCCAAGACACAAGTGCGTATGACAGCCATGGCTTCTTCCTGCTGCTCCTCCGCTTTGGCATATTTCTTACCCTTTTCGCCATGTGGTGTTTATGAGTAAGTGGCTGCATTTAGACAATCAAATCTCAGCTCAACAAGCTTCACGCACCTGCACTGTGCTCCTCCTTTGAAGCATGATTGAGGAAGCCAGCCAGGAAGCTGCAGTTAATGTTGGCATCAAAAGCAGGTTCTATATCTATGCTGAGCAGCTTCCAAACAAGGCCTGAGAGGGAGCCATAGTTTAAAAATGGCATCTAGGTCCTCACTTGTTTGGAAGCTGTTAACTATTGTTTCCAGTCTGGTGGGCATGTGTGGCTGATTAACTGTGGTTTTCTGGCATGCTTGCTTGCTTGTTCAGTGAAAGGAAGGAAGCTGGAGCAAAGGGATTGTGTGCGGATGCGTGAAACTTGTGCATATCTTGGTGTATGGAGCTGAGATCTGATCATCTGAATGTGGCCAAAATGTATGCTACAGGAGAGATGTGGGAGCCATTTTTCCTTAGATTTATTTCAAGACGCTATTCTCATGTTTCTCCTGAAACATGTGGATTAAGGTCTCCTCTGAATAGTCCCTTCCGCTGATAGGGTGTTTCTAAATAAGACCAACAGGTCAAACAGGGAATGTCTGCACAAGAAAAGCCAGAGGAGTGAGTAGAGCTTGGGTGACTGTTTTGCTGAAGTGAACTAGGAGCTAACGCAGTGACAATGTGAGGAGGTGTGAGAAACTGCTGGATTCTGCTTTGGGGCTTTGGCAAAATCGCTTAACAGCATTTTCTGTTTAGTTCTATATATTGCTAATTTGTATTTGCATTGAGGACTTCCGGTTCATAGTTCATGCTCTTTGCTTATAGTTCAGAAAATTATATACTGTGTAATATTTCTGTACATCAGGTCCCTGCAGTTGAAAGGTTCAGGCTGTTTTAGTCTGAATTAGATTCTTCTGTTTCACCTAGGTGATAGAGGGGCATTCTCTGTTGGCCTCATTCCTGTATATTTGTCAGAGTACAGTGACTTTTAGGACACTTCTCATGTTCCTCATTGTGACTAGGCCCCATCAGGAGTGTGGGAATTTGCAAATTGAGCATATATTTAGGTGACATTGTTGAACTTCTAGGCCTGAGTTTCCCAAAGTTGGTCTCAAGCTGTTTTTGGACTACAACTCCCATCATCCCTAGCTAGCAGGACCAGTTGTCAGGAATGATGGGATTTGTAGACCAAAAACAGCTGGAAGCCCAAGTTTGGGAAATCATGCTAGGCCATAATATTTCCCCCTTGTGCTTTGATTTCTTGGCTTGTAAATGGTTAGAGAAATTGTATTTCCAAGTGTACACAGATTTTTTAAAAAAAGTATACACATGTGTGATGTCTATATGTTACACCTGTTTCTGTAACAAATGTGTAACTGATTCCTCCACCCCACCCCATGCCGATCACAGTGTGTAGAGCTGCCCTGCCAAATTCTTTGTTGTGTTACACTGAAGGATATGTTAGAACTCAATAGTTTCTTTTGAGGACTGAGAACAGTCTGCTTTCTTGTATGACATTTCAAAACAATTCATACAACAATTCGTATGAGAAGGCAACTGAAAACTACCTTTCTCATACTGTATTTTCATTATGTGTCTTCACAACAAATTTGTATTTGTGATTTCACACAGTCATTTCATAATTAATATTTCTGAGTTACAATTTTTTTAACAGAGTAAAATGCTGTCTCATGAAATAATATATTTTTTCTTTTAACTTATTAGGTGCAGAACTAGTAGTGTATGATTTGTCAAGCTTCATAACTTTTCTGTATTTCTAGTTATTCATTCCATATGTTGTTAAGAATTAGCAAGATGCAAGGATGAAGAACTGAGTGTATTGATCCCTATGAAATAACTTAGATAACATGAAAACCAATGCCTTTCAACTGTTTGCAGATTGAATTTAAATCTTAAACTTCTTTTTTTAATAAGCTGTGTGACAATATGTATGGGGAAGATATGTTGTCTGAATCAAGTAATTGCTAAATAACTTTCACATCAGAGTGATTAAGAAATGGATTTCACTCAATGCAGTCAGTATCTATTATACAGCACAGCACTGTATAATTTTTGTATGTGGCAAACCTTCTCTCTCAATTCATCAAATGTTTTCTGATAATGTATTGGCGGAGAACCATTGAAATTATGGATCAACATGTTTCAATGCTTGCCGTTGTGCTCAGCTTAAGCTGTGCATCATTGCTTTTATGTTTACATGCACAGAGGTGCACTGTTTTCAATTCCAAGTAGTTTAATTTGCAGTCAAAGGCATATTGAGATGCTAGAACGGCTTGATGTGGAACGCGTTGAAAACAGGATGTTTTTAACTTTATTATTTATAGCATGCCTGATGTGCTAGACGCTATACAAGTTAAAAACAAACCTAGTCCCTGGCAATGGCTTATAGTTTAAAGATGCAGCCTGAAGAATGAGCTAGGGAATGACAATGGATCAGAGTAGAAAGAGAGAGAAAATAAATCACATGTAATGACTGAAAAATTATGAAGCGACTTATATTTGAAATATGAAATGAGACAAGTAGTCAGCCAATTTAAAGATTAGTAAATGAGGGAAATTATTTTTCACAATGATCGTAGCCTGTTCTGATTTGGGTTTTGGCCATGTGATTAGATGGAGAGAAGCATAATATAATTTGAAAGAAAGCCAGTGCAGATTGGAAAAAGCTGTTGTTTACAGCGAATCGCCCTCTGACTTGAATGGAAGAAGTATGAGATCAATAATGCTTATGAAAAGAGATGCTTTTGTTTCAGAAATCTAGCTGTCATGTGAGTAAATTCTATACCCATGTTATAAATAGGTTTGGAGCAATACAAGGAGCCAAAGAGAGGAAATGGAAGAATAGTGCTCTCAGATTAGTGCCCTTAGAGAACACGTCCCAATTCACCCAGGACCAGCTTCGCACAGTTCAAACTCATACTGTTTGTGCAACTTCAACGCATGCAGTTTCTGGTAGCATCCCTTCATTCCTTAGTTTTCCTTTAACTGCTGTTTAAAAAGTTAGCTTGGTTCGAGAATGGCTGAAAGTGAATGCCCAAGAGGCAGCTTCCCTTTCTTCTTTTCCAAAGCCCCAAACTAATTTAAATGGGGAGAGATCTTAAAAGGCACCTTGTGGTTTTGGTGGGAGGAAATGGCAGAACAAAACTCACATTTGTTCATACTGCCCTGTTGTGTGCTTGGCAAAATAATCAGTGAGACATGATCTTCCAGTTCTAGTTGATAGCATCTCTTTCATTCATTTCAGTGGGAATTGGATCCAGCCTTAATTTTGGGCACTCTGGCTCCTAAAAATATGACCTAGATATTTCGAAATTTGTGTAATAACTCTCACCTCTGTTTCATACATTGTATGGCACAAATTCAAACTTGTCACTGAATAGATGACTGATCCTGAAGGAGCTGTGCTTAGTCTGTGTTCCTTGGTGAGCTAGCCTACAAAAATATGTGCATTTGCGAACAAGTTTGTCATATTCGCACTTTACAGTTTCAGGCGCACATGTAAAGTATCTTAGGTGTACACCTAAAAATGCCACATGTGTGTATTAGGGTTACTTAATGCACCCAAAAACTCTTGCCAGTGTTCTGCTATTCTATTTAGCTGCTTTTAATGCAAGTCATTAAGCTAGTGGTTCTCAAACTGTGTTGTCTGTGGCTCACATACAGCTGTTTCCAGCAGGCAACAGAGACCTATATTTCTCCTGTTGTCGTGCTCACTTCTCCTCCTAGTTTCCAGTGCTAGAAATAATTTATAACACCTTGTTGTACCAAGCACAAGCGGTTGTGGAGTATTTTATGCTGGCACAATCAGGAGGAGAGGTGATCAGTGGTAGTCTGTCTGTGGTGTGCCACTTTGCAGAAAAAAAGTTTGAGAACTTCTATACTGAGCGTTTCAGTTGCCTATGTTTAAAATGTGTTGCTTCCCCTTAATCATGCATGTTGCACCTCCATTTTTGTGCAGATTGCAGTCCCACTCCTGAAGAGTCTGGCCCAGGTATGTGTGTGTTTTCTCCCCTCCATTCAGAGTATTTGCTTCTGAAAACTGCAGAAGAAAAAGGTTGTCTGTGCATCTAACACAAATGACTTTTGCTGATGCTAATTTGGGTACTGAACACGTGAATAAAAGTATTTTTGCTGTTAGGTTAGTAGGTGCAAACTGGCATTCCTTTCCAATAAATTTCAACACACGGTAAGTATGTGACAGGAAGACATTTTTAAAAATATGCTGGAAGGCAGTCATATGTAGCTGCCTAGTTAACAGGTGTTGCCTCTTTTTGTGTATGTCTACAGAGTGCTGGTAAAACTGGTTTTAACCAATTTGGTCAGAAGCTACATTGAACCACCTTCAATTTGGGTTTTTGTGTGTGTTAGTATTCTGTGGTTTTTTACTGGGTGGGTACAAAATACTGAGTAATGCTTGTTTTGTTTCCCCCCTTTAAAATAATGCTGGGAAGCAGATGAGGCTGGGAGCATGTGACTTGCCCTAGACTAAGCCAGAATTTGAACCTGGGCATCCAAACCCAACACATTATCCCTTGTGCCATGCTGGCTGATCTTGAGAGAAGAGACATGAGCCACCTGATAGCATATTACAGAACTTGTGGGGGTTGGGGCCAGAATTCTCTGAATGTGTTTTTTTTATATAAAAAGAATTAACATGTGTTCGGGTTTGTGTGTAGATTGTTTTTCAAGTTTCCATTTGTTTCCACAGTATAAACTGAATACTTACTATAATTATTTTGAGTTTTTGTCTATTTAGCTTGGCTATTTAGAAATGTTTTGTAATTTCTATACCCTGAAAATGGCTGTGCCAGAGAAACTATCCATTGTTCCTTTTTTAAAAATTGTCTATAAAAAGCACTTCAGAGCAAATACAACAACCTTTATTTTTCATTGCATAGATAATCTTATTTAGAGTACCAGATCATTTTGGAAAAACTGTATCATAAAGAGCAGCTTGCCTACTGTTAAAAGAATCCAGCTGTGTTCTGAGACATAGGGCCAAATAACTGTGTGCGTCTGTCTGTCTATCTCTCTATCAATCTATCTATCTATAGGATGGGACACAGGTTTAAGATACCACAGTACTTTATGGTATTCTAAAAACAACTTTCCGTAACTGCCCTTCATTTGAATGGCTGTCAAGGAACAGAGAGTACTTGCTTCGAGCAGAGCAGCTTGTACCAGAATGCTGCACATTCATAATAAACCATAGGTTATTTCAGTCAGTGGCTTACTGTTACATTCTAACAGGGCCAGTGGGTTCAATTTATGGCAGTAAGACTCTTCTACATTGTCCCAGTGTGGATGTAACTATTCTCTAGAACTAAGTTTAACTCTCTTCTTTGATGCAATTTCCCCCAACTGTCTCTTACCCATGGTGTAGCATTACATAGGCACATGACTTACCAAGGTTAGCTTTAAACAGGTTTTGCAAATCAGTTTCAAATCCTGATTTCAAAGTGGTTAAAAATCTAACCTTGGTTAGCATTGGCATAGATGCAATGTTGCACTACAGCCTGTTCGGACAATTAAGAGTAAAGGCATGCATGAGCCATGGGCCTACTTCCAATGACTCAACCATGGCTTAAGAGATATGCTGCCTTAAATCCAAACCAGACCTTTAAGTTGTGTTAGTATGTTTCTTAAAAGCTGTTTCTTTTTTAGTATTTTTATTTTAAAAATTATATATTGCCATTAATTGCCTCCTACTTCCTTTTGAAAACTGCAGGTGAATGGAGTGAGGCCCTTTACCCATTGCTGACAACACTCACAGACTGCGTAGCCATGATGAGTGACAAGGCAAAGAAAGCAATGGTCTTTCTCTTGATGCAAGATAGTGCCCCAACAATAGCTCTTTGCTTGAGCCTTCAGTACCGACGGGATGTTGTCTTTTGCCAAACTGTAAGCAAGAAAGTAGAATTCATACATTAGACTTTGGATACCTTTTTTAAAAAATGGAAAAGTAACTTTGAAAGCAGTAAGAATTACTGCACATTTCTGAACAACCCCCCCGCCCCACCCTGACTTCAGCAGCTTTGGCTGCAATCTCTCTTGGGCCTAGATCCTTTTAAACTAGAGAATGTTTAAATACAGGGGGGCAGGTAGCTGGATCAGACCTTGAGTAGGACATTTAATCTCATTATACTTTTACAAGGGACGTGGGTGGTCTAAACCACAGAGCCTAGGGCTTGCCGATCAGAAGGTCGGCGGTTCGAATCCCCGCGATGGGGGGAGCTCCCGTTGCTCGGTCCCTGCTCCTGCCAACCTAGCAGTTCGAAAGCACGTCAAAGTGCAAATAGATAAACAGGTACCACTGCGGAGGAAGGTAAATGGCGTTTCCGTGTGCTGCTCTGGTTCGCCAGAAGCGGCTTAGTCATGCTGGCCACATGACCTGGAAGCTGTACGCCAGCTCCTTTGGTCAATAAAGTGAGATGAGTGCCGCAACCCCAGACCCGGCCACGACTGGACCTAACGGTCAGGGGTCCCTTTATACTTTTACAAAAGCCAAACACGATATGCAGCAATTGCTATCTGGATTGGTCATTAGTGGGGGTGGGAGAGCATGGAAAGGAAACTGGTGCATTGTTTTGCATGTGCGTGCACACCAATTTTTTTTTAAAAAACCCCTCAAGTTTTCTTCACAAAGTTAAAATAGGAACAGTGCTTCACCTGGGATGCATAGTAAAAAAAAGGGAGGGTGCATTTAGGGCAAATGAGGCAGTGCTGGTACATCCAGCATTAGTTCTCCCTGTCTCCAATGTGGTATAGCATTATTACATAACTATTAGTACTCTGCTTAAAAGCTAGAAACACATCTATTTATTTCAGCATCCTACGGGCATTTTGACCTGGGCAGGGGGATAAATTTCTTGCCAAGCAGTGCTTCTGTTTCTAAATAAATATAGGACTCCTGAGGTGTCTATATTCCATCCTCAAAAGTTTTTTTTTAACCATCTTATTTAAAGCACATTAAAAGGAGCCAATGAAGTTAGGTATACAGATCATTCTTTAAAATTAGGGAGTGGGTCACTGATGTCGTACCTCTGGCACGAAGGTTTTGGAAGGTCTCTTCATAAGTCTTTGGTTACTTCATTTCTCTATTCTCTATTTCTCTATTCTCTTACACAGCTCACAGCCCTTATCTGTGGCTTCATTATCAAGCTGAGGAACTGCCTGCATGATAATGGATTTCTGAGGCAGCTCTACACCATTGGTCTGCTGGCACAGTTTGAAAGCCTTCTGAGCACTTATGGTAAAAACTGGCTGGGGCAAGCATGTCATATCCTTTTACGACTTACTAAACTTCATTCACTGCAGAGTGTTGGCAAGGTGCATGCAGAGGGTTAGAAACAAAAAAGAAGTTTAGAACAAAACTATGTTGTAATGTGGTATTTGGTACATAAAATATTGTGTAACTGAAAATAGATGTGTGATGACCTTGGTCGAAATACAGAATACCGAGCAACCAGCTTTTGGTTTTTATGAAGCAACTATATACAGTAGGTATCAATTATACCACATCAGAAATCAGTTTTGAAATGCTGGAAATTTTCAAAAAGGTTGCCTGCTCTTCAAGTTTAAAAAGAAACACTGCTGGGCATGCTTATGATTGTGTCCTTCCTTAAAAGTACAACAGAGTTTTACTTGTTACCATCCTTCCTCTGCCCCCCCCCCAAAGGAGTTTAGACGTTAAGGTTGAAGAGTACACCAGATTCACATTGAAAATAACTACTTGTAATACTTTGAACACAGAACTAAAGCAAAATAAAAAATAAAAAATATATATTTGGGGGGTGTTCTTGAGCAAATTGTCCAAACTTTATATTTTTTTTTTGCAAAAATTCAAATGAGTATTCTCCCGAATTGCTTTTCTCTATAATTCTCAAGTTAGAAAGGCTGTTGCTTATAGAGTTGTTAAATTTTTATTTATTCAAAGTATTTTTATACCCCCTTTCATAAAAATATCAGGGGATTCATAACAAAAAAAAATAACTAAAAATACAGTAAAATAATAAATTCATTGGCATTTACAAGTCCAAGTAAAACATGTTAAACAGTTACTGCAATAGTAGCCAGCAAAAGCTTCAGAGAACTATTTCCCTGTTTTTTGTGTTTCTGCCAAAATTTCATGCTTAAAAACCATGTCTGCAAAATTATTATTTTGATGAGCCACAATTTTGTGAGCTTTCACCTAAGAACATTTAAGTATATGGGCACATCTGTAAATGCATTGATTGCTTATGCTTTCCATCTTCAGCAAAACACATGCGGTAAATTTTCATCCTATATTAAAGGGTATTAATTTTTGCAACCCAGCTGAGGTCGAGAGGATTCAGGAGTGTAACAAGAGTCATTTCACGTGGGGTTGTGTAAAATCAGGAAATCACATATGTTACACAACACATTTATTTTTTAATACTAGGGTGTCTGAATTCAAGTCAGTTGGCAATAGCTTTTTTATATATATTTAAAGTATGACTACTTATAATCCCATTCATCTTTTCTTTGTTTAGGTGAAGAGCTGGCAATGCTAGAGGATATGAGTGTTGGGATAATGGACTTGAGGAATGTAACGTTTAAAGTAACTCAGGCCACATCAAATGCATCTGCTGACATGCTACCAGTCATTACAGGAAATCGGTAAAGAAAAAGGGCAGGGGAATGGGGAAAGAGAAGTGAAAGCAAGTTTTGCTTCAGCTAGGACACTTGAATGGCACAAAGAAAATGCATAGTGGGCAAATGCATAGTGATCCAATACAGAAATACTTTTTGAGCTGGTTTTATGGAATGGCCCTAACCTTTAACCTTGACCTGCTTAACTAAATTAGGCTATATTTCCATTATTTTTTAAAAAAAATATATCTCTGAGATCTTTGGTGTGGTGTTTAACCCAAATATTTGTTAACAAGATATACAAAGTGTGACACAAAACTGACCTGCTTAATATTATTTTGAGGAGAAAAGTCAAGTTTTTCAACATGGGCACAGAATGTTCATATTCATAAGAATATGAAGTGGCCATTTCCTACTCTGGTCTTCTCTTTTCACTCAAAACACTGCCCTGTGGTCTAAAAAAACTCCTTTCTGTTCCATTCCCTGAAAGTGGAAGATATTAGCTTTCTTTGGGTGACTAATCAATATAGAATAACTATGGGGAAAGGTGGCGGGAGCAAGTCCCACTCTCGTTCTATGCATATACTTTTCTCTTTTTTTAAAGGTAAGCATAGAGGCCCTGTGTGTATAGCTATACATAACTTACCTTACAGGGTGGTTGTTAGGATTACAGCTGGATAATGCAGGTAAAGCACTTTGAACATTTGAAAGTGCTATACAAAACTCAACTATTATTATTGCCCTCTAAATCAGAGCTTTCCAGACATTTCATGTTGGTGACACACTTTTTAGACATGCACAAATTGGCAACACAGTAATTCAGTTTTAGTAGCAAATAGAGGTTAAACTAACTCGCACGGCATACCTACACACTGAAGACCCACAGTTTGGAAAGCTCTGCTCTAAATACTATCAGAATCCCTGCTTTTAGGGTTCCTGATCACATGAAGAGAACCCAATGCACATACAGCTGTATGAGCAGGAACTCTATTCTGACCTTAAAATAAGAGCACACTGGTCAGGAGCAGAGCCTGTGTTTGTGATCCTGCTCCCTCCTCCATCTATATTCAGGAAATGTCAGGGTGGGGAATCTAGTTAGCTTTGCACCTAACTATTTGAATTCTGTCTTCAGCCCAGTACAGTGCACATCTACATAAAGATTTTCCTTCACCATTATGGCCTGATATGCAGACTTTACTCTTGGGCTTGTAATTAAAGTTCAGAACCTGTCAAAAGGATGGTGCTTGTAGAAATTTAATATCAGCTGTGGCTTAGGGGTAGGCCAGAGCTCAGTGGTTGGAGCATTTGCTTTACATGCAGAATGTCCCAGGTTCAATCCTCATCACCACCAGGTAGGGCTAGGAATGTTGCCTTAAGCCTTGGAGAGCTGCCACCAATCAGCATAGACAATAGTGAGCAACGGCCTGACGTGGTATAAGACAACTTCCTATGTTCCAACCAATCTTCCTTTAGGGGAGTCCATGGGGGAGTACAGGAATCACAGCATCCACAGAATAAGTTGCAGTTTTTCTTCTTTGAGTTAAATCCACTTATTCTAGAAACAGGACTGACGGAAGATGGGTTTCACTGATGGTATAACAGAGAACATTATGAGGAGACCAGCTGAGCCCATTTGAGTTTTACTCCTCACCTACATGTTAAGAATCACCAATCATAAATTCAGTTGTCACACAAAGTTGTACCAAGTCTTTAATTTTCTGTGAGGCACCCTGAAAACCCATTTACTTTCCCTGAGGTGCATTAATTCTTGAGTGCTGAAAGAAATACAGTAACAGCCTTTACAAAAGCTGTTTGGCAGGGCAAGAAAAGACAAATTGCACATACAGTAGATACAGAAGTGCCCTGAGACCGCCAGGTATAGGGAAATCTATAAATTCAATTAATAATAATAATAATGATGATGATGATGATGATGATGATGATAAATTAATAATGATTTCTGAGTAGACTTGCAAGTTCTGTGCAGACCACATTCCTCAGCCTCAAAAGGATGTTCTTTTTAAATGCTTTATGATTTGCATTGCTTGTTTAACTTCATTTTTTCTTGCCCTGATTTAGGGATGGGTTCAATGTGAGAATTCCGCTGCCAAGCACCTTGTTTGATGCACTGCCCCGTGAAATTCAGAGTGGCATGTTGCTGAGAGTTCAGCCCGTTCTCTTCAATGTGGGGATAAATGAACAACAAACCTTAGCAGAGAAGTATATATATTCTATTTTTAAAACATATCACACTTAGCCAAAGTTAGATTAAATCAACAGTCCTCCTGGGACTATATTAAGTTAATTTACTAGTAAAATCCAGTTCCCTACAGCTTGGTTATCCAAATAATGGCTCAGGAATAGGTTGGGCGACACCAAGTTTAAAACATTGGCTTATTTCAGTTGCTCAGGTGGTTGTTCACTAGTAAATGCTGCATAATGTATAAGGTATTTTACTATCTTTTGACTTAATCAGAGTCCTGTTCTCATGGGTTACTTTGCTGCGATAGCATCCAATGCTTGTCATATTTACGGTAAATTGCCTTAACTATTGTGCCAATGTGGTTGCTTTGATGGCCCTTAGAATGTAAGAGTTTGGGATGGTTTAGTGTGATGTAAATGAGCCATACACGGGTGGCGCTGTGGGTTAAACCACAGAGCCTAGGACTTGTCGATCAGAAGGTCGGCGGTTCGAATCTCCTGCCAACCTAGCAGTTCGAAAGCATGTCAAAGTGCAAGTAGATACAGTAAATAGGTACCGCTCCGGTGGGAAGGTAAACGGCGTTTTCGTGCGCTGCTCTGGGTCACCACATGACCCGGAAGCTGTATGCTGGCACGGCTCCCTCGGCCAATAAAGCAAGATGAGTGCCGCAACCCCAGAGTCGGCCACGACTGGATCTAATGGTCAGGGGTCCCTTTACCTTTACCCATCTTCACTTCTCCAGCACAGCTGAAAGGAATTTGAAAGCTTCCCTTAAGCACAGAATGCCATATTGCCAGAACTGGCACACTGTGGTTATTGTTAACTATGGTTTGCTTTAGACAAGCCTTGGTCTTTGGCTCTGTCCAGGGGTGCCCATACTTTTTTCAAAGAGGGCCAGATTTGATGATCTGAACATGCATGAGGGCCGAATTAGGCCCCCGAAACGGACTTTGGACATGCCTGGTTTATGCGAAAGTAGCTGTAAGTTGTTAAGTTGATCAGCTGTACCCTTGATAATTTAGTCCTATCACCCCTCTTCATTAGTACCTAAATTTGAGTGATCATTTGTAGTTTACACACTGTCTGCCATATGCTTAAGGAGAGTCTTATAATAACATTTTCAGCATTAAATCTTGAAGCTGTTCTCCTAGCTTTGTTTGTTTGGAAAGGATGTGTGTGAATGAGAGAGAGAAACCTTATTTGTGCTAAGGTGGTTCCTTTGATTTTTAAAGGTTTGGCGACACCTCTTTACAAGAAGTGATTAACATGGAAAGCTTAGTGCGGTTGAATTCCTACTTCGAGCAGTTCAAAGAAGTTTTGCCTGAAGACTGTAAGTGTGCCTAAGAAATATTCATATCTAATATGCTTAAATTTAAGTTAAACAACGGCCACAGTCACTCATTGTAGTAATCCATAAACCAGTCATAGATAAAATGAAGGGCTGGGGCAGGAGATGATTTTAAGAGCAAAAGAAACATGTTGACAAGGAGTGCAAACTCTCTCACACACCTGCCACCCGCTGCTTGCCTCTCAACAGCCTCTCCCCGGTGACTCACTGATCTATGGGGAATGTAAAATCAGCCCTCCCCACTCCAATGAGAGCAGTTGTCCTTTTTAGATTCTCAAAAGTATCTGACAAAGTGACACAGTTTGGAGGAAATTATATTGGAGATAAATTTGGCCATTAGATCATGACTTTCCTATAAAGATGCAAAAGCTAACCTGTAAATAAAAGGACATTTTTATATAGATATACTTTTAAAGAGAGACAGTTAGGCATGGGTGCCTTTTATCTTTAACGCTTTTTGTCATCTTCATTTTTAGTACAGTGGTACCTCGTGTTACGGACGGGATCCATTCCGGAGGCCCGTTCGTAACGTGAAATGCCCACAACTCAAAGCGCTGTGTCTGTGCAGGCGCGCGGAGCGATTTAGTGCTTCTGCGCATGCGGCAAAACCCAGAAGTAAACCGTTCCGGTACTTTCAGGTTGCCGCAGGACATAACGCAAAAAGATGCAACATGAAGCAGATGCAACGCGAGGTATGATTGTAATGGAACTAATCCAAAAACAATGGATTGTTAGTAGGAACTTAAAATGACAATGTGCACAGATAATATTATGCCTAATATAACAGAACCAATTTGCTCAACAGAATGATCTCTCATATATATATAGAGAGAGAGAGAGAGAGTAAGTAGAAGTACTGGAGTATAAAATTAGCATGATGAAAACTGAGTTATAAGATTCTGTTTAAAAAGTGAGTATACAGAAGCAATTTGGCAGTCATCATCTGATAAACCCGTAATTTAGTATTTAATTACTAAAAAATTTAGTATTTTTCTGTCCCTGAACTTAAATTATATCATGGAGACCAATCACATACTGGTAATTAATAAGATAAGAAAGGGGGGGGGGAATCAAAATTAAATGGGTGAATATTATATAATAGTCAAGATATGATGTGGCAAGCACAGTAAAAGAGGATTGAGCCATCAGTACCAGGCCCTAGTTATCATGTTTCACAATGAGCAAGATGGTGGCTTGTGACTTTGTGGGGGGCAACACCTATTTCCCTACCAAAAAAAAACCCAATACAGAGGTTTTGTGCAAAATAGCTATTTAGCTGTACTGAAATTCTGATAGAGATCTTGTGGAAAACATCCATTTTATTATTATTTTTCAAGAAGTCATGATGTACATAGATGTCTCCTAGGTGATCTGCTACACATATTGAGATGCTAGCTCTACCTAACTAGGTTGCTGAAATTCCTACATGCCTTCAGCATGCAGTAATCAGTGGAAACAGGCCTGCTGCCAGAACTGCCAGAAACAAAATAGGTCCAGTTGAGGAGAAAATGGGAGTAGGGATGTGGCAACAGGGAGTACCCACTGATGCACGTTACAAATCATCCACCCAAAGAACGTACTAACAAACTTCCACATGACCAGTGATAGTGGATGCGTAATTGATTATTTTTATTTAAGGGTTCTTCCACAGTAAGAGGAAATTATGATTAACTGTATAAAAATATGACAGACTGGCATTTTGCTTACGATGATGTAATATGGACGGTGTGAAGAACTTGTGTGCACAGGTAGTATTGGTTCCACCATAAAGGCCCACCTGGGAGCACCTTAATAGAGAATAATATAGCTATGTCTTACAATAAAAGAGCAGATAAGAGTGAAATGAGATGGTTTTTCAATATATTCAAGTGAGGTCATGTCCCAAGAGCCAATTAAGAGAAGAAGCTGAGACAACTGAGGTTGAATTGTTGTTAGCAGGACCAAGTACAGGTATGTTTTCTAGATTCTACCGTTGAATATAGTTGCTGTTTAAAATAGAACCAGAGGGGTGTGCATCTATTTTTTTTGGCCCAAAGGCCCCATTCCCTCTTGGCTACTCCTCCAAAAGAAGAGGCTTCTGGATCCTGCCAGTGGCCCAGCTAGTCCAGCATCTTGTTCTCATGGTGGCCAACCAGATGCCTGTGGAAAACCCACAAGGAGGACCTGAGCACAAGAGCACTCTCCCTCCTGTCATTTCTGGCAGTTGGTATTCAGCAGTATACGGCCTCTGACTGCAGAGCATAACCATCATAGCTACTAGCCACTGATAGTCTTATATCCTCCATGAATTTGTCTAATCCTTTTAAAAGCCATCCATATGGCCTTCTTAAGTTTCAAGGAACCTGATTAATAGACCATTCCAAAGGGAGGAGGGCAGATGGACTGGGAAGTGTAAATTCCAGGAGGAGAAACTGCCAGATCCAAAGCCTTACTGGGCTTGTGCCAGCAGCACAGAAGATGGTAGAGTGGCTCTTTCTGGTGTTTTCCTCCTTGGCAGCTTGGTGTCTTTTCCCCCATCCCTTCCCATTGATCCACAATGGAGAGACTTGCAAGGGCAGATGATCTTCTCTGCCTGTGACCCTCCCTCTCGACTCAAGGAGACAGATCTGCTCTATCCTGAGACTCTTCCAGGGTCTATAGGATTGCTTTCTAAGGAAATGGTGATCACTTATCAAAGGAAGCTTAGTCTTTCAATATAAATTTGCATGCGGGTGAAACAATACTTCTGAACCAAGAGGCATACTTACAACATGCATTGTGGCAGGCAACTTATAAAAGGTGCTTGCTGTTTGCAGCTTTCCTAAGTACTTGCATTAAAAATCTGCTGACTGATTAATTAGGGGTGCTTTTTAGTCAATTCAACAGATTTTTTAGCTGATCACATAGTGTAGCCCTAACCGAAACAAATGACAATTTTTAATATGTGACATGTGGACAGTTTCTTGATCTAGTTTCCCAGATTAGTATACAGATTCTAAATTCCTGGAGTACAAAATGCCATGTGACCCCACTGTTCAGTGACAAATTTAGCTCAGGGTGCTCATTTCTACAAAATTTCTAAGGTACTGCACAAAAATAGGAGAAAGGGATCAAATGTATAGTTCAGCCTGAATAAAGCTGCATGTGCTGATAAACTTTTCTCTCATGTCTGACCACAGAGAATGGGGAATGCTTACACTTTCTTTATTTCATTTAAGGTCTACCTCGATCTCGTAGTCAAACGTGCCTGCCTGAACTGTTACGGTTTCTTGGACAGAATGTACATGCAAGGAAAAATAAGAATGTTGATATTCTTTGGCAAGCTGCTGAGGTATTTATTATTCTTATTCTACAAACATTTGATGGATATGCGATGTTTGTGCAGGTCACCATGTTTACCTTTTTACTGCCCTGCCCTGCCGGAATAACACCACTGCCTCTGCCCACCCCTTATGAGCTTTTGCTGGCTTGGTGTGCAGCATGGAGTGAGGTGGGTGGCTTGTCCAGGAAGATGGGTCTGGTCTCCAAGGATGTTGAAGGGGAAAGGGAGTTACTTGTTGCTCATTTGGAGGATAGGATGGTTTTGTAGCCTTACTAAGTCCATTGTCCTTTGCAAAGGCTGAACGCTTTCCTTCCCAGGGTGCATGGCCATGAAAACCCATGCCTACTGGCAGAATCTCCTGTGTACCACTGTGTTTGCTATGTGATATTTATTTGTTAGTGTGCCATTGCAGTAGGATAAGAGGACAGAAACATCCAGGCAAAATGAGCAGAGGTGGACAACCACCTCCAAAAGTTCATTTACAGCACTGAGATACTAGTAAATGCCACTTCATTTTCTCTTCATTAGGTGTGTATATAGTCCACCTAATGCTGAAATGGGGTATTTGTGATTCTCTCGAAGTTGCTGGACTAGTGTTTCTTCATTATTATTATTAAAATTTGTCTCAGGGCAGTTGACAGGATAAAATCACAACATAAAAACATGAAATACACTATCAAAATAAAAACAACTTAATAATTCCACCAACACATTTTACAAGTGCATTGAATGTCAATCAGCCAAAGGCCTGATTAAAGAGGAACATTTTTGCCTGGCACCTAAAGGTGTGTAGTGAATTGGTCATCCTTGACCAATGCCCGTGGTGGCTGGAGCTAATGGGAGTTTTAGCCCAATAATAACTGAAGGGCCACATGGTCCCCTTCCCCATCTTAAGGCAACCTTTCCCAGCCTTGGGTCCCCTTATTGCTCCCAAATGTGGGGGTATTACATTACACTGAAGCATTACAATGAAGCTAATAGATAGTGTCCTTTTCTAGATTTGCCGCAGACTCAATGGTGTTCGGTTTACAAGCTGTAAAAGTGCCAAGGATAGGACTGCCATGTCAGTGACTCTAGAGCAGTGTCTAATATTACAGCATGAACATGGAATGGCTCCACAGGTCTTCACACAAGCCCTGGAATGCATGAGAAGGTAAGGACCGTCTGCTCGCTGGCCTCTTGTTCCTAATCCTGGAGCCATGTAAACTGCAGATGGGTGGTTTTCAACCATCTTTGATGGGGATAGTTATATAACAAATATAACTATCAAGAAAGATAAATTGCACAGACTACTGTTTCCTGAAGTACTTTGGACCCCACTCAGTATTTTTTGATATAAAGAGAGCTGTCATATTTGTATGTGTATTTTTTAAAAAAATCTCCTAAAAGAGGAAAATACTTTGTATAGTTTTCAGCAGTTTATTGAATAACTGAGATGTAAAGAAAAGTATTGCACAGCATGCAGTCTTTTCTGCTCTACCAATTTGAAAGCTTTGTAATTGTAGGATTGCCTCAGTTGTCATCTTGCCATTTTTGCTTAGAGGTGATCTGTATGGTTTACCTGTTCTGTGAAGGATACACATCTGCAGGTTGCATTGTTTTGCTATGCTTATTCCTCAAGCAATACAGTTTGCTTCTTCAGCAAATTGTCATTTTGAATGTTTCATGATGCAGCAATCAGAACCCATCACAACCTGTCAGTGTTCTGTGGTCATATCAGTTTAACTCCTGTTTTCTGAAGCTGCAGACATACTTGAAAATTCTATTGTTTTTAAAATGTAAGGAATCTGTTTACTGTTCAATACATTGTTTCAAGCACTACCCGAAAGCTCCAATTTTACATACCAAAAAAGAAAGGATAAGAAATCCAGTTTTAGTCTTTATTGGTGTTTTCAGCACTACCGTGGAGTCCTGTTCTCAACATTCACTTACGCTGAATGTACTGTACTGTGTGTCTTCTCACCAAATTCTCAAAAGTGTTCAATTCTCTTATCCTTTCTGTATGTTTTTGCTATTTGATCCTTTCTAAATCTTCAATGGTCTACTTTTTATGTTACCTTTTTACTTCAGCAATATTGCTTTCTGAATTTGCCATGGAGTCTTTTATGTAAAGCATATGATTCCATAAAGGGGAATCACCTTAAACCCGGGCTATGATTAAACCAGCATCTTGGTTAAGAAAACATTAACATATATAAGAGAGAAAGAGATAGAAATATATATGCTCAAATGTATTCGCAGCCTCATTCATAATATTTAATTGATGTCCTTCTGATAATACTAACTACATTTTTGATAGATCTGGACATTTTTAATAAAAGTGGGTACAATATAGGCATTGTTCATCATTTTAAAGTCTCATTTAATGCACCTGATTGTTTACCCAATTCTGGTCTGGGAGAGAAAAGCCATGCCATTTATGTTAAGTGCATTTAACATTTAGGAAAACAACATCATTAGGGCTGGACCCAGAGAAATGCTGGGAGAAGGGTGTAAATTGGAAGGTTATCACCCCACTCCCATCCTTCCTTCAAGAGCCCCATCAAGAGCTTCACATAAGGGTTGGTATGCGGTGGTGCAGGGGACTGCTATGGAAGGAGGAATCCTTAGAAATTGGAGAGAGGCAGTCAGGGGTGTAGCATGGGGGGGTGTTTCCAGGGTGATTGTCCGGGGTGCTGCTTATGCCACCTTCCCTGAACCAGCCTTGCCCCGGTGTTGCTCACTGAGCAGGAGGCCAATTTGCCTTGCTCATTATGGTGGATTTTTGTTTGTTTGATGACTTTTTAAAAATCATTTTTTAAACTAACCTACTTTGGAGTTAAGTAATTTTTAACACCGATACCTTTAATAGCTAGGTTATTGAACTAATATGGTACAACTCACATTGAAGAATTTTTGAAAGGGTCAAATGCTATAATGGTTATTCATGTTCAGTTTTGCTTTTCAGAGCTCCCTTCCTTTGCAGCATGTGGAAGCATGGCAGAGCAGCATGGAAACATTGCTTGGCCAAATGAGAAAATGAACATGGAAAACCATTCTTGTTCAACCTACATGTATTTATTTTCAGTAGATTACAGTATTCTTTCTTATTTTCTCTTTTTATTCTCTTTCTCTCTCCTTTATTCTGTAATTGTGCCTTTTATTATTATTATTATGATTTAAAATTGGCACACCTCCCTATTCTTTAACCTAACACGTTCTATTTTCTGTTGTGGCTTCTTTGATGTTTCTTTTTCTCCTCTTCTTGATTTGATTCTGTTTTATTTTGCCACTTTTATTTCCTTTTGGTACGACCATTGCATGTCTGTGTGTGTTTCTTTCTTTACTTTCCTTTCTCCCCGAACTTCTTCCTTTTCACAGTATTGGAACACGGGAGGTAGTCACGCAGAAGAACTTGTGTGGCCTGGTGCCCATCCGGGATTTCAGGCTAGACCCCAATCTTCTCTACTCTATTCCTTTACTAGCTCTAAGCCCCAATTTACTGATTGTGTGGCTATTTCTGAGCATTGCCTACTTGGTGGCTAAATTACGTTGCAAGTGAAGATGAGTTTAAAAGCAAACAGAAGCAAAAATTTCAATGAAGTGCCAGAATATTTATTGCCACCTGGTACCTATTTGTTAAAGAATGTCTCATAGCATCGTCTGCCAAGAATAATAATTATTATTATGCCTTACAATTTTGTGTTTCTATTGTACTAAACTTGTAAATACACATCAGATTATTTTATGAAAAGGAATTGTATCGAACGTTTAAACTGTTAACGCTTTCAGTGCTTGTAACATAGTCTGACAGCGGCCCTGTTACCTCGGTATTTTACCCAACCTGAAGATTAGTTTCTCTTACCAAATATTTTTCAGGCATCCAAATCTCTTTTACTTTCTCTCTGTGTAGATACACACAGTTTTGTTTCACATGTTCCATGTATTCCAGAGAAAGGAACTTGTATTCCAGAGAAAAGAATTTGTATCTTTTTTGTATATTCTTAAAGTGTGTCAATCTTGCGTTTCATATTTATGTGATATGCGAAGAAACAAAGTGATCGTTTGCAACAGGTTTAGCTAAACAAATATGCTCAGCACCTTACTACTTTGATTTCTAGGCATAGCCTCTAAAATGGCGTTTGTCAACTTGGTGCCCTCCAGATGTTTTGGACTACAGTTTCACCATCCCCTGCCAGCATGGTTGTGCTGGTTGGGGGCTGATGGAAGTTGTAGTCCAAAACATCTGGAGAGGGCACCAGCTTGGTGAAGGCTGCTCTAAATAATTATAGCGATCCATGCTTAGAATCATGTACTTGTTTCCCCCCCCGCCAAGTTAAATCTGTTGCAGCAAATTATACCAACTTTTAAAAAAGAACCAACTTGAACTGCAGTGTGCTGCATGCAATATACCGTACTTTCAGTTTATTTCTATATCTACTTTTTTAATGTATCAAAAAGGGAAGAGTGGGTAGCGAAGAATAGCTTACAAATAATCTGTAATTGTATTTAAATCTCCGGGAAAATATTTTTATAGTATATGTGAATGCGATCATATGTAAATTAATCCTGACATTAAATATTGCCATAAAAGATGCACTAATGAGATATTTCAGCTAATGGTTAACGTTTTAGTTAGAAGACATGAAATAAACTTAAAATAGTTAAAAGATGCTAACATAATTGAGAAACTGTTCCCAGAAAATTACTCTAATACTTCAGTGGACAACAGAGAATTATACTTAATTGCTGCAGTTATGATATTTAATTGTCCAAATATGCACATATCAGCATTCAGAAAGCTTGTATAGCTATAATATTAAAGTTATAATTTTGTGGATTAATTTAATTAAAAGGCAACAGCCAACATTGCACAAACGGAGTTCCCCTTCTCTTCCACTCCCCATTCCCTCCCCAATTCTGCTTCAGAAGGTCTATGAACCTCTAGAGCAGATTTGGGGGGTGCATGGGAACGTGAGGAAGATGAAACCCCACTGCCCTAGTGGCAGTCCATTCCACAGGCATGTCACTGCCATTGTAAATTTGAGATTTTAAAGGAGTTAAGTAGGCTTAGAGACAGATTCTAACTGCCATGTTCCATTGTGCTATGTCCCACTGGTACAAAGATGTTTCGATTGCATTTATTTTGACAACTAGTATAAGAAGCAGATGTAGCCTTGATTATGGACTGTTTGTATGTTACCAGAGTAGCATGAGAGCTACTGCTCCTGTAGCTCAATCCTATTCTGCTCCAATAACATTTGTAGGAAGCAGTCATGTGACTTGGGGTAAACAGGCATCATTATTTCACACTACATCAAAATCACTTATGTACTCAGAGTAGACCTATTGAAATTAATGGACCTAAAGTAGACATATCTACTAATTTCAGTGGATCTGGTCTGAGGAGATGAAAATTGGATGCAACCCAGTGATGTTGGTGTGGGAAATATTCCTGATGCACGAGACTGCTTTATACAGACATTACTGTAGAATGTTTCTACAGTGCAGGTTTCATCTGCTCAGAAGCAGCAGCCACACTACTCAGGCAATATAACAACAGGTCTTGTGAGGAATGCATTGCAAGATAATTATCCACCCCACCCCCCTGAAATGTAAGCATACCGCACGGCAGCATTAAAGCCTTTCTTGTCAGAGGAATGCTTCATACATACATTGTAACTTGTTATTGCATGCATTGAATCTTGCCTCTCAAACAAGAATAAAAAAACACGCATAGCGTCAAAAATGTCTATCTGGGTCATATGTGTTTCCCAGAAGCCATAATTTCAAAACACACACACACTTCTTGGTAAGTAGCCAGTTGTTAGGCTGACTACAACCAGGCAAGGAAGCAGTTTTCCTTTTTTTTCTTGTAGGCTGTCAGTGTGCCACAAATGATTAACATAGGCAGGGGTGGGCTAGTCAATATTTGTAAGACTTAGCTATAGCTATCCTGCCTTCTCCTTCTGCAGCACCGAAGATAATGGGGTAGCTCTTAAATATGCAGAGCTTTGTGAATCCAGAAGAGCTCAGGATGGTACCAAATGAGTTTCAGATAATAAACACATCATCAATCAGTGTACACAGAGTAAGCTGAGTGCACAAAATCAGACTATCTATACATACCCCCCCTCTGCAAGACTGCTAAATCAAAATGTGTGCAAATTGTTGCCACAAATCTAACACCCTAGAATACTTTTGTGCTTTTAAATGAATCTAAGTGACACTCAAGTATAAATTAAAGTCACTACAGATAGTGTGACGCTGTGGGTTAAACCACAGAGCCTAGGGCTTGCCGATCGGATGGTCGGTGGTTCAAATCCCCTCGACGGGGTGAGCTCCCATTGCTTGGTCGGTCCCTGCTCCTGCCAACCTAGCAGTTTGAAAGCACACAGTGCAAGTAGATAAATAGGTATCGCTCTGGCAGGAAGGTAAACAGCATTTCCGTGCGCTGCTCTGGTTTGCCAGAAGCAACTTAGTCATGCTGGCCACATGACCCGGAAGCTGTACTCCGGCTCCCTTGGCCAGTAAAGCGAGATGAGCGCCACAACCCGAGAGTTGTCCGCGACTGGACCTAATGGTCAGGGGTCCCTTTACCTTTACCTATAAAATAAGTACTTCAGAGTCCCAATGCATTGTTTTAGAGGAAGGACAATAAAATCATTTACTTGTGAAATTAAGCCATATAAAAATGTGTATTATACAATGACAATTGAGTTAATGAAATCAGTTAATCCCAGTTTCATATCAAGGTGTGCACAATCCATAGAGTAGATTTCAGTATGAAAGTTAAACAGCTGTTAATATGCCCACTGAAATCAACAGAACTTCAAAAGAGCTTGTTTGTCTGGGTCTTGCCTTATGTTGATAGTGGAATAAATTATTATAATTCAAAATCTCACCACCTTGGAAACAATGCTGCTGTAGTTTAACAAGGGGCATATTAAATGTTGCTGTCCTTAATTGTTTAAAATATAATTATATATCAGTCCTATGTTTGTGTGCTTTGTTTAACACTTATACTCTAGCATGAAACCATTTTCATTTTCCATTGTTTTCTTCTATATTCAAAGGAACCAAAGAAAGTTCTCTTTTGATGGTCTAAATTAATTCATGTGTACCAAAATGATGTGCTTCCTTACATAGCTGTTTGTCAGCACTTTCAGTTTCATGAAAAATAATGGCCTTTTAAATAGATTTCAGAAATATTGTATTGAAATGCAATAGAGTTCAAAACCAGAGTGTAAATGTTAAGATAGCCTATTGTAGCAATGACTATCACACCAAAAGAGGACTGTTCCCCAGCAGCCCAGTATAGATTTTATTCTGCCACTTTAAACCATAGCTAAGGAGCAGGTCAGCAGAATTATTGACCCCATCGTCTCCTACAATTTCACATGCAAATCTCCACTTCTCCCTTTTACCATGGTTTATAGTTATGTGCTAAGCTGGACTCCTATTATAACTACGGTTTGAAGCTGGTTTCGAATCCTAGGTGAGAAGAAATTTGGTTAGCACAAGTGCATACATAACATTAAATCATGGTGAAATGGAAGGGAATGCACAAGCCCACAGCCCACTATAGATTTCTTAGGTTAACCTGCAATAGGTAATTTCCTAGGTTAAACCTGCAGTAGGTAAATATGAGGGAAGGTTGCATTCCTAAATATTGATGGCTTTCTAGCATATGGTTGGTGGCTGTACATGAAATAGTATTTTTTCAAGCAATTAAATAGTACTAAACTTTTAAGGATTGTGATTGTATTAGTATTAGTTGGTTAAGTTCCTCTCCCCCAACCGCTCCTACTGTGCATAGCAAATTATCTAGTCATGGTAACCTTGAGCAAAGCCCTTGCTAAACTGATATGCAGGAAATAGTTGTTGTTGAAAAGCATTTATTACTGCATAGCATATGTGCCATGAAATACTTCGGAACATTGCAGAGATCAGTTGCATTGCAACTAGTTACACTATTGCTTTTTAGAATTGCAAGTTTAGCAACTAGACACTGCATGTTTCTATTTCACGTGCCTCATAGCTGGTCTGTTTAGTGATCCACTGCTTTTAAATTTGCAATGGCAAATTATTCAAGCACCTGTTCAAGTATTTCAATGCTATGAACTAACTAGTTCACCTCATTATTGTCTAAAATAATTGTTCATTTTGTTTTTGTTTTTACTGCTGTCATTTTTTGTGCTTGTCTCTCTTTCCCAGTGAGGGTTGTCGAAGAGAAAATACAATGAAGAATGTTGGATGTCGCAAGTATGCATTTAATTCCCTGCAGCTGAAGGCTTTCCCCAAGTATTACAGGCCTCCTGAAGGAACTTATGGAAAAGTTGAATCATAAGATTACTCTGTCCTGTAATTAGTTGTTCCGTTAAAAAGAAATGTGGATACACTCAATTTTAGTATATGAACTTTGACAACAATGTCAGAAACAATTTTTTGTACGTTTCACTAGTTAATACCAAGCATGTACTTTTATTAAATTGGATTCCATAGGAAAAATATTATTTACTGACCCCTTATAACATGAAAATGTGATGACCGTCTGCTCATGTAACTAGCCATCAGTGTATGTAAGATGCCTGTTCCACTGATTTCTTACTTATATGCCTAAATAAGAAAGGTAATTCCTGGATTGTTGATGATTTTATGAATGAAGTTTAGGCAGCTGTTTCACACATCTTTTTATACTGATTTGATTTGAGATTAAGACTTTCATATAATACTTTTTTAAAAAACCTCAGACTTTGTAAATAGAAAATGAATTGGATGTGAGGCAGTTTGATAAGTTACAAGCCGCATTGTTATGCAGGAGAAGCTAAAACTCAGTTTTTAAGACAGTGCAGCACAGTAATATAAATGCCAGGACCTTAAAATGTTTTCCTTTATGTAGGACACTATCATATATGTGGTGTGTACTATACAGCATCAGGAATTGACACAAAGCCCAGATCAAAAACTGGACTGGACCCATGAGTCTTTTAGTTGTCTTTAGAAATTTTACAATTATATACCTTTGAAAAGTAGGCTCAAGGAAGAGAGAGTTGCACATGGCAAAATAGTTAATGTGACAAGTAGTGCTCTGGGCAGAGGACTCAAAAGACAAGGTACACATTCTTAACTGGCTGGCATTGTAAATTAGATACAAAAGTGCATTCTGGTTTGGCCTCTGAAGTGCCAAGGAGGCTGAGTCCTCTGCATATCTGCATCATCAGAGGCATCAAACCTATTTCAGTTTGCACCTCTTTCTGTTTATATCCATCAGCTTACTGCACACAGCAATGCCATTCAGTGGAAGACAAATATTCAGAAGCGTGCGCTCTCTCTCTTTTTTTCATGCACAAGATGATATTATACAACTTCACTTGTGGAAGCAGCTGTTCGATGTTTGCAAGCCTTTTGCCAAGTATGCTTGCTGGATTTACAGCCTGGTTCTAGGACTGAATGAGATGCACTTTAACCATTTGGAATTGGTGGTTCCTTACTTTCCTCTCTGTCTTCAGCCTTTCAAATATGTTTACTGTATTATATTTAACTTTTACTAGGAGTAAACCCATTGATATTAAAGGCCATGACTAACTTAGACCCATTAATTTCAGTGAGTCTACTCCCCATAATAGTTAAATACAGCCCATAGGTAATGAAAACTATGAAGTATATAAGGGATTCCTACTTTCAGATCATTGATTTAAACAAAAGCCAAATGTTTCTCATGACCCCATAATTCATTGATGATAAGGCTACGCACTGAACTGGTATGGGTGTAACACTAAACTATAGTTCAGTGTTATGTGAATGAGCTTTAGGCTCACACCTCCATAATTACAACTCTGATGAGGAGTGGGAACTTCTTCTTTTTAAACTAGATGCAGTTTATTGTTATCAGGGGTGCCAACTTGAATAAAATATTGGGGGCCCAGGCAAATCCTACCCCACATAATTGATCACGTGACATGGCACATGCACACCATTTGAATGGCAATACCCATCAACTTTGGGAGGGCCCAACCCCCTCAAATTTTTTTTTTTTGGGGGGGGGACCTCGGACCCTAGGAGTCGGCTCCTATGATTGTTATGCTCCAAAGGAACAGACAGTTAGTTTAAACTATGGTTCACTGAAACAAGTCTGGCCAAAATCATAGCTTATGATGCAGTGGTACCTCAGGTTAAGTACTTAATTCGTTCTGGGGGTCCGTTCTTAACCTGAAACTGTTCTTAACCTGAAGCACCACTTAAGCTAACGGGGCCTCCTGCTGCCGCCGCTCCACCAGAGCACGATTTCTGTTCTCATCCTGAAGCAAAGTTCTTAACCCGAGGTAATATTTCTGGGTTAGCGGAGTCTGTAACCTGAAGCGTATGTAACCCGAGGTACCACTGTACTGGCATGTCTCAACAAATCTTAGTTTAAGCTAACCATTTATCCCTTTTGGACAGAACAATAAACTGCTGCTTGTTAAAGACAGGAAGTGGAAGTTTCCAAGCTACTCCTCAAACTTCTGTTTAAGGCAGGAAGTTAATGCATCTCTTCTCCTCCTTGGGCTACCCTGGAGGAGGAGCACATGAAAGAGGAGACAGGAGTGTATCAGTTTGAGAGAGACACTGCTGTTTGTTCACATAATGCTAAATTGTGGTTCAGAATTATTGTCTTCCAATGGGAGATGCTCATGTGAAAAGCCGCTATTAACAAAACTACCCTTTAGAAAGACACTCATGAATATTAATTGATTGCACCAGTACAAAAAGCAAATGTGTGAATAATGCTTAAGGTAGAACAATACAGTCTTCTGTTGATATGTGACCAGCAGCAAAACAAAAGTGAAATTAAGCACTGATTTTTTAAAATCACGTCATGCTTAATCTTCTGTAGAGTTGTTTAATCCAGTATATAATAACCATTATAACATTTTCATACTAAGACTGTAACCCAGAACAAACATCTACACTTTTAAAGTCTACTGAAATTAGTGGTGTTTATGTATAATAACTATGTTTAGGATCATGGGCCCTGTAATGGAAATGGGAAATGTGGTTCAGTTATTCTCCACAAAATAAGAAACCGGTATACATGGGACATTTTCCAATTCTGTGTTACTTCTCCCGGCTATTTATATTTGCACTTTAATTTCGCAAAGGTTTTCATTGTTTATTCTAGGCCTACAGACATTTGTTATACTATTTGCTTTTTGCAGTTTGATGGCTTAGCTGTGTTGTTACATGTGCTAGTCATGATTTTGCACTAATCATGATTTTGGTGAACTAGTCTTTTATTGCTGTTTCAGCCTTGTTTGCAGTTTCAGTGTTATGAATGCTATGTACCATGTTTAACCTCGGAACTCTGCACCAAGTGTAAACGTTTTTGGTCCATGTTGAAATTGTACTATTGGGAAAACTCATCCTGATATAGCATAAATGTGCATTATTTTGTATTTATTTTATGTTCACCACTCAGTGTATTTTTTGTACATATTAATCATGTACTTAAACACTTAAGTTATTATTTTTCAGCTTTGGAGGAAGGGCTACTGAAAAGATTTCAGTAATTTAATGATTCTCTAAAACTTTGGCAAGCAATGTTTTTAGACACAGAATACTGTCAGCCATCTCTTGGAGCCATAGGGTGTATTTCCCCATTCTTTTAATGGGAAAGGGAAGCTGAAACTTTAGGCCAGATTGGCTAGTATAAATGTTCAGGATCAGATTTCTAGCTATTTTTAGCTATGCCCCCTCTAAATAACAGTGAGCCTTTATTTTACATGCCTACTTGAATTACACTACGGAAAATTGTTTGTTTTTACAATGTTTCATTCACTTTGGTGAGGCTCTGTGGATAGAAATGCATTATATAGCATTGCAATACTTATATGAAGAATTTCCAAACTCCTCATATGTGTCCTTTGAAACCCTCACTTTTTTTAAGATACCAAGCTATAGTACTGCATTAATTATAGGAAAGGGATTCAATATTCTGATTATCTTTGGGTTGTTTGCAATATGTAGAACAACTTTGTCCATGTAATATTTTATAAAGACAATTTGACATATGCATAGATAGGATTCCATTGAGGACAAACTGAATAGAGCTTAATGAAAAATGGAAAACTCTGAAAACATAAATCCATATTAGGAAACTTCATTTAATTGTTTTATTTGAGTGACAGATTGCACAGAAAAGGCATTCTTAAGGAATACTATAACATGAAGTTCTAACTAATTTTTTTTAGTACATTTTAGAAATGAAACCTACTAAAGGGGGGTATAAAAGAAACTCCTGCTAAGTCTGTTTGTCTCTGTTCTATTAAAACACCCACAGCACAGTTGCCTTTTGGGTTTCATTTATGTATGTAGAGCTATTGTAAAATAGAGCACTGTTTTTGTCTCAACACAGTTGTATTTGCCAAGCTTGGTGCATTGAAAAGTTTATTTTATTTATTTGTTTTGGGGCAGTATTAATATACCATAAACATATGATTACTGTTTTATATAGTCAATTCTTCCAATCCATGTATGCTGTAAATGTGCTAGTCTTTAGGGATAAAATAATAATAAAGAACTGACAAGAATGCTGAGATTAGTATTTTTGTTTCATTAAAAAAAAAGATAAAATACATTGCAACTTTCAAGGCTTTAGGACCTCTATTATATTATACTTTCTAGGGTTTTCCTACTAGCAGGGGTGTCGGGATTTTCTGGGCCCAGTACACTGTATCTGGACTGGGACCAGTGACCACTTGCAAAAGAGGATGCAAACTTGCATGCAACTTGCATGTGCAAATCTATCTTCTCTTTTTGCAGATGGAGGGTCCCCAAATATAACTTCTAGGGGGTACAACCACCCTGGAAAGATGCATCCTGGTTGCTAGGAAAAAGCAACACATATTCCAAAGGCAGCGGGCCTGGATAGATCAGTTGGTTACGGCAAACCAACCAGATGGCCAGGGTATATATAAAATAATTATTAATCCATGGAGGTCCTAAAAGACTGCAGTTTTCCCCATCCCTTTTCCTATTTCTGTCGCCTGGTATCCAAACAACTCACTCATCAATTGCAGCTCTGACTTTGCTCAAAGGCTAAATACATGGGTGGAAATTTCAGAGAAATTGCTTAGATGTGTACCTTTCTTTCGTCCGCCCCCCCTTTTTTTCTTTTAATGAAAGTATGGCCACCTGCTAGTGTGGGTTCAGTACATCAGTATCCCTATACCTCTCTCTCAGTGTAACTGCCTACAAGGGGTTGCATTTTGTTTTAAATTTTTATTTAAAGATTTGTTTTTATTGTTGATAAAGGTGGTCCTACTATTGTGCCTTTATTTATTAATAAGGACAAATAGACATTTTATTTTT